AAGGATTTTGGTAAATTCCACCTCTAAGGGGATAAAGTAGGGGATGAAAGTTTGTATAAATCTTCTTAGATATTCGACTGATTAAGCTGAAATTATAGATTGATGAAGATGAGGCCTTAATTTTTAACACACGCTTAATAAAAGTAAAGCAGTAGAAACTATACCAAATCTTATATATAAAAATGGATCGCAAAATGTGTTGGTAAGCGCATAACTCGACAACGCCTAAACCAATTTTGCTAATTTTATTCTTTTTTTGTTGTGTTTGTTATTGTCAGGAGAAGGTTGTTATGAAAGAAAATATTAGAAAAATAAAGGGGAAGATTAGGAAAAGGTGACCCTTTGATAGCGAGATAGACCCGTGCGAAGCGGGGCCGGGCCGCTGGTGAATAATAATATTACTTAACGCGAGCGAAGTCGCGGGCAAAAGCTAGTTAACAGATAAATGTGCCGTGTGGGAATCGAACTCATTACACGTTGGACGACAACCTATTGTACAGCTCCCGCGGTAACCTTATGGCCGATCGATCATGATCATTTGTGACGGATTAACTAAGGGACATGATTCGATTTCTGGGTCGTAATAAGACACCCACAACACAAGAGGAGTTACGAGTGCATTGCCCGGCCTTTTGGCGGTTAGGGTGGGGATGGGGTTGGGAGAAATATTCAAGAAGACACTCGTAATTCCTTTGGTGTTGCAGGTCCGTCTATGGGCGGCGTTGATTGCTTACCATCAGGTAATCCGTCAGCTCGTTGGCCGACCTATTTACCATTAGAAAAAAGAGATTGTGCCTCCGGTAGCCACAATCACAGTCTAACCAGCTTGCTATGGTTGTTTCACATCGGTTTTCTGTGAGAGCTAAGTTGCCGAAATTTGGCTCTGACACACTTAAGTTTGGACTCTTTTGTTTTGTTTGTGTCCATAGTAATATATCCCAACTAGCTAATGTCCATTAGATTGTAGCGTGATGTTTTATAGCCTATAGCACTCAGGAACATTGTAGCTATCTTTCAGTGTAAGAATTTTGGCAATCCGATCAGCGGTTCCAAAGATTACTCCCTACATACAAACTTACAAATTTTACCTCTTTATAATATTAGTATAGATATGATTATACTTGGTAGTATTATAATCCAAATTCAAATTGTCTTTAATACTTTACAGTCCACGATTCTATCTTATCCTTACAGAACTAAAATGCGTAGTCTCGTAATAAACTTCCAAATGACCTACAAAATCTTAACCTAATGTCTTTTAAAAGAAAATTGTTTGAGTTTTTGATAAATAAATGTTATTATTGCACTAAAGATTATTTAGATGACCTATCATAGACTTAGAATAAGTAGTGCATAGTTATAAGTAGATATTAAGCGAAATAATTTGTACACCAATTCGGTAGAATTTGTGAGATTCCATACACATAACACAAACACCTATATTTGTACTACATTCTCACAAATAAATATTTTCTTTCTTTCTTTCTTTCTCCAAATCAATCGCCAGATCAATAAATTGAAATAAATGAAAAATTTTTAATCAGCGTGGGATTCGAACCGACACCGCATTACAGTCCACTGAAGCGATCGCACATGAGTTCAATAACCTCCCTCCCCTACTAAAACTAAGCTTAGACCATAGACTAATAAACAACTATAAACACTCCTTACACCAACACCGTTTGTAAAATTAAAAAGTAACTGAACCGAAAGGACGATCAAAGAGCCCTTGTCTATGCTCGATTGAAAGTATAAGCCGATTAGTCTATGGTCATCCAACTGACCAATCACCAGTCGAGCTTGCATGTTCTTTATTTAAAATGACCGTTAAGTTATTGTTAGTTGGTGCTTGCTTGTCGTTGGGTGCACACGTGTGATCAAAGCGAAGGATTTATTTTCGCTCTATTTAAAAAATGTGTGAAGTGGCTTTTGTTCATTCAAGTTGAAAAATCGACCTAAATGCTTTGTCGTAGGGTTTTTTTATAGATAAAAGCTGTTTGTTGTTTCTTTGAAGTTTTATTTAAGCACCTATATTTTGTTGGTTTTTTTTTGTGAGGGGAAAATCATCAAATGACTTCTCCCTCCCAGGGCCGGGCAGGAGGGAGTGTCAGACTCTTACTGACTAAAAACCCCCTGTTCCTTCTCCTGCTCTGTGCCGAGGTCGCGGTACCTCATTGCGCTTACCCCGCAACCCCGGTTGAACATCAGCCCTTTAGGGCCCTGTCTGTGGTGGTCGAATGGCTCTTTGAGGCGCGCGCGGAACGCTACGCGCCGTACGCTCGGGTCTGGTTCTGGTCGGGCGGCGAGCTGCCCTTACTCGCCGACCGCAGGCCCGTGCTTACGGTGGCATATTTTGTTGGTGTGGAGTGTGGAATAAAACGAAACGTAAAACTCACTTTTCATCATAATGTAATGAGGTCTACGTTATCTATTTTTTAAGGTATAAGTCGGCAAACGAGCAGACGGATTACCTGATGGTAAGCCATCAGCGCCGCCCATGGACACCCGCAACACCAAACGAGTAACGAGAGCGTTTCCGGCCTTTTGGAGATAAGGGTTGCGGATACGGATCGGGAACGGATAGGGGAAGAGGCGGGATTGGGCCTCCGGTAACCTCACTCGCACGGTGAAACAAAACGCTGTGGTTGTTTCACGCCGGTATTCTGTGAGGCCGTGGTATGACTCCGGTCGAGCCGACCCATTCGTGCCGAAGCATGGCTCTCCCACACATGATGTAGTTCCTGTATTGTCTTAGATCGAGATCCATTATAAACTTTATACTTAGAAGAGAGAAATATTTAGACGACCATAGATGGGCCCCACGAGGACCACGATGTCCACGGAGTTTTTAGTCAGTAAGAGTCTGACACTCCCTCTTACCCTATCGAAGGCAGGAGACGTCGTCAATGTTGTTTATTTTTCTTAAAGAAAAATGTATATGATTCTAATTATTTTAAAAGAATCCTACATGCCAAAATGCTCCTATTAATCTGAGTAATTTTGGGAAAGTCGAAAAACCCAACAGTACCTACTTTGCTTGACATCGGTAGTCCCATTGTCATATCTCAATCAACGCTTCAATTTCTCTGTAAAACAGTTGCAAAATAAAAAAATAAAACTTGTAATTTCAAATTATTTATTTAAATTAATATAAAAAAATAATTTTGTATATTAATACAGTTAATTCTAAACTATATTATGTACATTACAACACATTAATTTATTATTTTTATTTGCAAATTCAATTATTAAAAGAAAATAAGAAACTATTGTAACATTACAATTCACTCAGAAGAAAATAAAAAGAAAATATTACACTTATAAATTAATCAAAATTAAATTAAATTAAAAACTTAAAATAAGAAAAGCGATGTATAAAAATAATACCGAAAAGATTACTTTAAATGCTTTAAATTTTACAAAAAACAGAAACTGTCTATTTAAAAAGTGTTTTATACATTTTAGCGATAGGCCGACAAATTTCTCTTTAATAACATAACATTAAAGAATATTATTAAGTATATAACATAACTCAATATTAATAACAAAAGTTCACAACTTTTAATCTCTGACGTATTATACACGTACTTTATTTAAAATGTAAAGAAAAAAAGGAAATTTTTTTGACGGCAAATCTTTCTAATATTACAAATGTGAAAGTTTCTGAAAATTTATGGATCTATAATTGTTATTATTTTACGCACAAAAGGCTTGACTTGGTCTGTAGATGTAGGTATGTAGGATAACCTGAATTAAATCCTTTTCATCAACATACCATGCGGGCAAACCCACAAATGAAAGCTATTAAGTATGTATAAAAAGAAAGTCGTGTTAGTTTCACCGTTTCTAACTCAAGAACGGCTGAACCGGTTTTGTTGAGAATTGGTAAAGATGTACTTAAGAACCTTGTAGTTTAGAATTGGTAGGGAAAGGAAGGCATGTTGGTTGCGGTTTAAGCGCAATGAGACATCGCGGCCCCGGCATACAGCAGAAGAAGGAATGGGGGGGTTTTTAGTCAGTAAGAGTCTGACACTTCCTCTGACTGTCTGATTTCATCCATTTTGGGTCGTAAATTCGTTTATCATGCGAGTAGGTCATCTATACTAATAATATTATAAAGAGGTAAAATTTGTAAGTTTGTATGTAGGGGGTAATCTTTGTGTGAGAAGTGATATGGAAGACAGAGGAGTTAGCGATAGCGTGAGGAGTGACAGGACAGAATGGAAGAAAAAAACATATTGCGCCGACCCCAAATAAAACGGGACTAGGGCAGGAAGATGATGTATGTAGGGGGTAATCTGTCGAACCGCTGGTCGGATTTCCAAGAGACTTTCACTAATTAATAGCTACAATGTTCCCAAATGCTATAAAATATCACGCTTCGATCTATAGGAGCCGAGCAGCAAGTGATACCGCGTGCGTGGAGTGGCTAATTTTTAATAAATTTGTATTAAATTAAGATTTTTATCTTTATATATAAAAATGGATCGCAAAATGTGTTGGTAAGCGCATAACTCAACAACGCCTGGACCAATTTTGCTAATTCTTTTTTGTTGTATTTGTTATTGTTAGGAGAAGGTACTTAGAAAATATAATTAAAGTAGAGGGGAAGATTAGGAAAAAGTGACCCTTTGATAGCGAGATAGTTGGACTCGTGCGAAGCGGGGGCGGGCCGCTAGTTTTTAATAAATTTGTATTAAATTAAGATCTTTATAATAATTAGTTGTTGTGTGTAATTTTATCCATTATTAGATCCATTATAAATGATGCTAATTTCAGTCTATAATGCAAAAAAAATGTTACCAAGTTAAACACCTTAGTTATGTAATTTCTTGAGTTTATCAAAAATAATAATAAGGTAAAAGACCAAAAGCAACACAAGCGCCTCTAGCGGCGACAAAAATACATATTAACAAACTAAAATCTAATAATATATATTTTTGTTAGTACATATACCACAGACAGAGTCTAAATATATATGCGGAACCAATACTACAAGTTCATACTCGTTGTAATACACTTGGAGGTCCGTAGCTCTGGACACTATCTTTACTGTGTCTCGGATGTGAGATATCCTGGAAAAAAAATAGAAAAAATATATGTTAACTGTCTTAAAACCAAAAATTTTCATCATCAGCCTATAAATGCCCACTGTTGGGCAAAGGTCACTCCTCACACGGAGAAGGTTTCAGCATTAATCACTGCGCTTTTTCAAGTTTACCATTGTTTACCATCCAGTGATCTGCTTCTGCGTTTGCCATCCTACCATGTATAAAAAAACCGGCGTGAAACACAGCGTTGTGTTTTACCGTGTGAGGGAGGTTACCGGAGATTACCAATCACTTCCATCCCCAAATGTCTACCCGGCAGGTTGGCCAGGTCGGCAACGCACTCGTAACTTCTCTGTTGTTGTTTTTGCTGCGGGAATCCATGGGCGGCCCGAATTGCTTACCATCAGGTAATCTTTCCGCTCGTTTGCCGATCTATCAAATAAAATACAAAAAAATAAAAAGAGCTGAACATTTAGCTCAGTGGCGTGTAATTGTAGAGGCCTATGTCCAGCACTGGACGGAATCAGGCTCATGATGACCTGATGATGATAATAATTACTGACCAGAAATGGTTGCCCCCATTACTGCTATCCACGATAGGTTTCTGCTCATCCTGTGACGTGACCACCACATAGTATCCTCCTGTATATATCCTTACACCATTCTTCACTTTGATTACTGCGAATCTGCGAATATCATTCATTCATGAATACATATTTAAAAAAAAACGAGAAGTATAATGTCTTTAATCATAAAGAAGTCGGGTTTATCAAGCTTATGTTTAGTTTTTATAGAAATATTTCGATATTAGCTACTCTCGGTTTCACCTGCTGAGGCCGAGGCCACGGTAGCTTTTTGCTTTTCACCCTCAATCCCGGCTGAGTCCCGTCTGTAGTAATCTATTGATAGAGCCCGTCTGTAGTGGTCTATTGGCCAGTAAGGTCGGGCCTGGTTCCGGTCAGGCAGCGAGCTATTCTTGCCCGCCATTGAGAGAACCAGTGGCAGACATAGGGTTGAATACATAAACCTCCTCCATTAACTTTCAGATTAGCTGACGGGAAAGGAGTATTGTAAGCCAGCGTTTACTGGTTTTCAATACTGGGAAAATTATTTAAGTGTGGGTGAGCTATGCTTCGGCACGAATGGGTCGGCTCGACCCGAGAGATACCAAAAACCGGCGTGAAACAACCACAGCCGTGTTTCGCCGTGTGAGTGAGGTTACCGGAGGCCTAATCATTCCCCTCCCCCAATACCTAAATCTCTGAATTCTTAATCCCCAAAAGGTCGGCAACGCACTCGTAACTCCTCTGTTGCGTGTCCATGGGCGGCGCTGATTGCTTACCATCAGGTAATCCATCTGCTCGTTTGACAAACTATTACATAACAAAATAAAAGTATATGACTTACTGAGGCTTAACCGTGCAGTCAGCTAAAATTACATGTTCTGCAGTGTCCGACGTCATCACCAGTTCCTCACCTCCGAACAGCAATTGTACTAAGTTGTCTTGCAACCGACATTCGCCTGGATAAAAGGAAAAATAATCAGATACACGCGTATGTGGATGATTGGTATATCCTTTAAAAAAATCACACAGATTTTCTTTTTTCTTTATAACTTTAAATTAATTATTATGTTTTCGGCTTACTCGCGTTATTATTTGACGAGGAACGCATACTCGAATAGCCAGTAGCAGCGCGACAGTTACCGCGTCGTGTGTCGCGGAATACTGTTCATGAATATTGGTCTCTAGCATGGACGTCAAATAATTACGTGAGTAAGCCGAAATCATAATAATTAGTTATTCTTTTCTTCCTGGACTCGGGGGAAGGATGTATCTCAGTAAAGTGCTGGTAGGGGTCTTGACCGTACTTCCGGGATTGCTCTGATAGCCGTGGGATGCCTCTCCTTCCCCAAGCAGCTCAACGTATGTTGCCCCCGTGTCATGACAGCGTACATGCTAGCGGCCGTTTCCGGGGGCCCATTAATTGAGTTTGCCAGTCACCCCCTGCCTGTTTATCCGTATGTATCAATATTGGTCAGGGGCAGGGGCCATAGTATTTCCATAGTTTTCATCCACTAGTGCATAGCAACCCATACCCATAACCCTATCAATTGTTACCACATTTTACAATAGTCCTGCATCAACCGGGGATTGTCCTTGGGTGCACTTTTATAGTGCAAACAGTGGCTTCGGCTCCTCGTATGCCTTCCAAAGGTCCGGGACCCTGTGGTCCCGTGAAGTTTTGAAAAAGACTTTCTGTCGCTGTTTATAATGTATGGTATGATAACATTTAATTCATTTTCCAGGAAGTAATGATTATTTCGTGTATTTTTCAAATCAAATAAACAAACAAACAAACAGAACAAAAACTATCTATTCGCGTCTAGGACGCATATGGGACACAAAATAAACAGGTGTATGAACATAAATTACAAAGTAATAAATTGGATCAAAAATACTAGTTATAAATACACATATAACTTTGATTTTGACCTTAGATCCCTAATAGGCCGGCAACGCACTTATGTCGAAAACCATACAAGTGATCAGTCACCTCATTTACCGCCATAGCCAATTCCTAAATCTTTAAATAAATTTTCTGTGTGTACGGAGTTCTGGTTGCTTACCATCAGGTGACTAAACAGCTTATTAACCTCCCTAACCTATCAAAAACATCCTCAACTTCACCACCTAACTCAAACTTGAGAAAAGTATCAGAAAAAATGTATTTACGGTATAACCCCAAAGTCTTCATAATTTGCATATCAGTCCAGCTGTCCAGAAGCCAGGCGAAGTTATCAGACTTGAATTGCATGTCAGCTCCCTTATTGACACTGACTGAGGCTAGCCCATTCCGTTCCTAGAACAGTTACACCTTCAATTGGATTTAGAAGAACCGATTGGATGACTTTCCTGCTCAAAATCAAGGTTCTTTTGAAAATCATCCAATGATTTCTCCCCACCCAGGCGGGAAAATTCATTGGGTGATTTTTATAGGAGTGAAGGGAAGTGTCAATCTGGAGAAGAGATTGAGTGCTTTTCACTCCTCAAAAACATAAACTTTTTTGTCCAAAAGATGAAGTAATCTATACTTATATTATAAAGAGGTATTTGCAAGTTTGTTTGTAATGGAACACTGGAACCGCTGATCGGATTTCCAAAATTCACTTTCACTGATAGATAGCTACAATGTTCCTGAGTACTATAGGTATGAAACAACAAATGGAGACGAGCAGCGGTTGAAACCGTGTGAGAATAGCTAGTTTCACATAAAACTGAAGGCAATTTTTAAGTACCTGAAAATTGACTACTTTTTAAATACACAAGTTTTTCTGGTAACGGGAATTTTCTTTCTCAACCTCTGCGCTTAATGCACAGTCAAGTCTGTGACCTTGAGTGGGATCATCATCATCATCATCAGCCTGATATCGTCCACTGCTGGACATAGGCCTCCCCAATCTCACGCCACTGAGCTCGATGTTCAGCTCTTCTCATCCAACCACTGCCAGCCACCCTGCGGATATCGTCGGTCCACCTAGCTGGAGGGCGCCCTACACTACGGTTGCCTAGAGGCGGTCTCCACTCTAGAACACGTTTACCCCAACGGTCATCGGTTCTTCAACAAATCTAACTTGGCCACTGCCACTTCGGTTTGATAATCCTTTGGGCTATGTCGATAACCTAAGTTCTATGTCGGATCACCTCGTTTCGAATACGATCCTTCAGAGAGATTCTCTTGGAGAAAATAGAAATATGTATTAGATAATATTTGGATCGGTCCCACAACGACACGTTTATTTTAATTATTACTTTTTAAAGGAATATTAGATTACTGTCGGGTGTTTTAAAGTTTTAAATTTATCTATTACATAATGAAAATATATAGTACTTTGAACAAAGTAAATTTTGTACCTAGAGAACACTTTATTTCAAAAGAAAGATAAAAGATAAAAGATAAAAGATAAAAGATAAAAGATAAAAGATAAAAGATAAAAGATAAAAGATAAAAGATAAAAGATAAAAGATAAAAGATAAAAGATAAAAGATAAAAGATAAAAGATAAAAGATAAAAGATAAAAGATAAAAGATAAAAGATAAAAGATAAAAGATAAAAGATAAAAGATAAAAGATAAAAGATAAAAGATAAAAGATAAAAGATAAAAGATAAAAGATAAAAGATAAAAGATAAAAGATAAAAGATAAAAGATAAAAGATAAAAGATAAAAGATAAAAGATAAAAGATAAAAGATAAAAGATAAAAGATAAAAGATAAAGATAAAAGATAAAAGATAAAAGATAAAAGATAAAAGATAAAAGATAAAAGATAAAAGATAAAAGATAAAAGATAAAAGATAAAAGATAAAAGATAAAAGATAAAAGATAAAAGATTTGACTTTTTTTTTATTTAATTTAGTTTTTATTGAGAATTCATCTTTCATCTTTTATCTTTTGATTCATAGCCCGAGTCAGGCTATATTTCTATGTTTCCGGGGGTCTAATTTATTTTTTATTTTACACTTTTTATATGTATTTTATATCATTTTCTCTCGATTAAGTCATCAACATTCCCTTTCAGTGCGCTTTCATTTGAGACCCCACAATAGTTTATTTGCAGACCTTCGGTTACCTTTCCCCACTTACCCCCATAACTTCTAAACGGCTCAACCGACTTTTGTCAAACATGTCTAAGAACACTAGTCACCTTTAATACAAAAAAAAAACTAAATTGAAATCGCTTCATCCGTTCAGGCTCCAGGATGCCACAGACAGACAGACACGTCAAAGTTATAATACCCCTTTTTTTCTGTCGGGGCTTAAAAAAGGGAAGAAAAAAATTGACCTTGATAACTGCAGTCATGTTGAGCGGTTCCTTGCTGTAACTCCTGACGAGTTGTCCCAAAGCAGTTTGCGTCACTATATCCGACTCCAGGATACCCATCTCTGATAGCTGAAACAAATAAAGATTAGAATGTCTACCTATATAAAAATTATAGAAAGGCCATACATCGGAAAGAATGGATCAGCTCGACCGTAGTGGTCTCACAGAAAACCGACGTGAAACAACCATATTGTTGTGTTTTGTCGTGTCATTGAGGTTACCGGAGGATCAATACTTTCCCTCCCTAATCCCAAAATCTCCAAAACTTCGGCAACGCACTCGTAACTCCTCCGTTGTTGCGGGAGTCCATGGGCGACACTGATTGCTCACCATCAGGTAATAAGATTGCATGTTGTAAGACCTATCAAATAAAAAAAACGACCAAAGAATTAAGCGTCGTGGTGGCCCGGAGTTTAAGGCGCCCGCTTCTCATGCATGAGGGTGCGGGTTCGAAACCTGGCAAGTACCAATGTGACTTTTTCCGAGTTATATGTACTTTCTATGATTATTTAGACACCACTGACATACGGTGAAGGTAAACATCGTGAGGAAACCTGGACTTTATAATTTCTAATTATAAGTTTGAAATCACCAACGCGCATTGAGCAAGCGTGGTGATTAATGCTCTAACCTTCTCCGTGTGAGAAGAGGCCTTTGCTCAGCAGTGGGCACTTATAGGCTGATGATGATGATGATGATGATGATGATGATGACCAAAGAATCCACAGCTTTACAGAAAACCAGTGCGTAATAATCTTCGTTTTGCGGTTCATAGTGTGAGTGAGGTCACCTTAAACCCAATTCTTGGCAAGATGACGCATCAACTCCTCTGGGGTTACGAGTATCCATTAGTGCCACGTTAGCTTACCATCAATACAGCGAAATGGTTTTTTTTTTGTTATTTAATAGGTCGGCAAACGAGCAGACGGATTACCTGATGGTAAGCAATCAGCAACGCCCATGGACACTCGCAACGGAGGAGTTACGAGTGCGTTGCCGACCTTTTAGGGATTAGGGATTTGGAGATTTAGGGATTTAGGAGGGATTGGGGGAGGGGGAGGATTGCGCCTCCGGTAACCTCACTCACACGGCGAAACACAACGCTGTGGGTATTTCACGCCGGTTTTCTGTGAGGCCGTGGTATCACTCCGGTCGAGCCGACCCATTCGTGCCGAAGCATGGCTCTCTCACACAAAAATTTTTTCTCCCACACTTAAATTGGTATTTGCCTTATGATTGAGATCAACTTTTTTTCGTGCAAAGAAAGTCAGCAAAAGCCTTCTCTAGCTCAGGGTATGGTGATGGGGATTATCAGACTCTTACTGACTAAAAACCTCTCGTTCCTTCTCCTGCTCTAGGCCGAGGCCGCGGTACCTATCTTATTGTTTTTGCCCCGCAACCTTATCTTAGACCCGATCCTTGGCAAGGCAATGCACTTCTAAGTCTTCAGGAGTTAGATCCAAGGGCGGCATCGAATTGCTTACTATTATCATCATCATCATCATCATCAGCCTATAAGTGCCCACTGCTGAGCAAAGACCTCTTCTCATACGGAGAACGTTAGAGCATTAATCACCACGCTTGCTCAATGCGGGTTGGCGATTTCAAACTTATAATTTGAAATTGTAAGTCTAGGTTTCCTTGCGATATTTACCTTTACCGTATATCAGTGGTGTCTAAATAATCATATAAAGTACATATAACTCAGAAAAAGTCACATTTGTACTTGTCAGGTTCTTCCACACCCTCATGCATAAGAAGCGGGCTCTTTAATCTCCGGGCCACAATGTCACACACTATTATCAGAAAATATAAAACAAAAAAACATCAAACTTACATTACTACCAAAAATTTTCACTTCAAAGAACCTCTCGAGTTTCCCATACAAGTTCTGCGGTATACCCTTGTATTTCAAGGTCAGTTCTGATGCTGGACCGGACTCGAAGCAGTCAGTCTTGTTCCCTGAGTAGGTGATAGTCAAATGACCCTCGTAAGAAGTCGGATGGATGGCTATGTCCTGGTCTGATGGTCCGTGACTGATTTCTTGTTCTCGAAGACAGATCTGGTGGTGGAAAAAATATATGTAATCAGCCTATGAATACAGGTAAAGTCAAAAGCAAATGCCAGTTATACAAATATATTCAAAATGTACAAGAAAACCGCTTTTAAATGATACCAAACACGGTATAATTATCTTAACTTTATTTTTTTACTCTGATTGTTTTGTCCGCTAGAGGGCGCCACATTAGATTTTGTGATACCTCATATAGCCTATAACCAGCGGACAATTAAGACGTTTCTAATGATACTCGTATGCCATGTTGAATTCTGATAAGTAGTTTAGAAGTTACGAGGGAACAGATGAACATACATACAGGATGAAAAACATACAATTTCACATACACATCACACTCAGACGTGAAAAAACGATTTGTGGATCATATTTTTTATGGTGTAGGTCGACAAACGAGCAGACGGATTACCTGATGGTAAGCAAGATATCCGCAACACGAAAGGAGTTACGAGTACGCGCCGGCCTTTAAGGATTAGGAAGGGATGGGGGACGTCTAGTCGTTCGACCAGCAGCAGGCCTCGAGGCGGCGGCGCCGTGTTCCTCGCGCGCCTCATAGTGGAGTCCTGCGGTCAGGGTGACGGGGCCCGCCTGACCATCTGGTGGGCCAATACCCGTCGGGGGATTGCGACGAATGCTTCGGCGATACCCGTCCCTCTGACACATGGGTAAGTGGAGGAACACCGGGTTGGTTTTTAGTCAGTAAGAGTCTGACAGTACCCTATTCGCCCTTCCCCGAGGGCGATGGGTCTCCATGAGGATTTTCCAATCCAATACAAAAAAAAAGATGAAGTAGGGATTGGGCCTCCTGTAAAGCACTCACTCGGCGAGACACAACACTGTGGTTGTTTCACCCCGGTTTTCTGTGAGGCTGTGGTATCACTCCGGTCGGAGCCGACCCATTTGTGCCGAAGCTTGGCTCTCCCACACTTGAGGAAATATTACATATTTATTTATGTCCATACCATAATTTTATAAAGGGCTTCTTGTCCATTTTATGTGGGTATCGAACTCACGAAACATTACTCTGCAGCCGGTTGCCCAGCCACCGCGTCAACGGTGGTGGTGGCAATAAACTCGTGCCTACATATCAAATTAACTATGCAGATTTATTCAACGCATACCAATCGATTACTGGCTCTAATATTACCCTTCAATAATATGAGTTACGTGGCTACCTTTCTACCTACCCCCTCGGGACGCAACTATGTGTGAAGGTAAAAGGAAGATCGTGTAATGTTGACATTACTGAGAATTCACTCTTTTTATACACGATTTGCCTTTTAGCACGAACCAAACGAGCGACTTTTTAGCAACTGTAATGGGCGATTTTGTTGCCCTTGTGTCATAGGTCAGCAATCGATCAGACGGATTACCTGATGGTAAGCAATCAGCACCAGATATGGACGCTCGTAGTACCAAAGGAGTTACTACAAGCGCGTTGCTGGCCTCTTGTGGGTTATTAGGGATTTGAGGATAGGGGATTTGAGGGATGGGGGGCGGGGGAAGAATTAGCCTACGTTATCCTCCGGTGCCCATCGCCGTTTAATTCTAATAAATGTGTAAGTTTTTGACAATGTTTATAGATTTATGTTTGTTATTCTTTCACGCAAAAATGGCGGGACCTATTTAGTTGAAATTAAGTAAGTTGACAGGTGATTAAAATATAGGCTTGTTATCAAAATACCACACGAATGAAGCCACCGGCGAAAACTAGTTTTGTACATAGAACGAACGCATCTCTTTTGAGCCTTGAAAACAGTGTCAGTCTTTCTGTTGAGTTGCCCCAAAAAAACACGCAATATTATTATACTTTTTATTACTATAGTAGTTTTATTACTAAAGTGTTCCAAAACCAAACAACGGACCACTTTAGAGCGATAATTCGTAGTGTGAACGTTAAAATGTTCAAGCAACTAAGTCGTCTGCCACAGTTGTTCAAAAGTGGCACGTCTGCTATTCCACACAAGTTGTTACAAAGTATTCCGATAAGTATCTATATTGTTCGATAGTACTCCGGCAAGTATCAACATGACTTTTTCCGAGTTATAATACACAACCACCCGCCCGGTTTCGCACGGGTGCAACGCTGATACTAAAATTGCCCACTATTTAATGGATGTCATTATACATACGTATAAATTTTCCTCTCCAATCACTCTATCTATTAATAAAACCGCATCAAAATCAGTTATGTAGTTTTAAAGATTTAAGCGTACAAAGGGATATAGGTACAGAAAAAACGACTCTGTTTTATGCTATTTAGTGATGTACTTTATAAGTTTATCTAGATAGCACTGACAGATGTAAAAGCAAGCATCGCGAGGAAATATGGGCTTTTTTTGTCAGGGGAAAATCATCAAATGACCTCTCCCGCTCCAGGGAAGGCGAGAGAGAGTGTCAGACTCTTACTGACTAAAAAGCAACCCCGGCTGAACATTAGCCCTATAGGGCCCCGTCTGTGGTGCTCCATTGGTTTTTTGAGGCGCTCGCGGAACGCTACGCGCCGTACGCTTGGGTCTTGTTCTGGTCGGGCGACGAGCTACCGTTACTCGCCGTCCGCAGACCCGCGCTTACGGTGGCTGGAGATCATCTCTCGATCCCCGACGCCTGGAATGTCGCCTACTGCAGCGGCTGGAGCGCGAGGAGGATAGTTCCCTCACGCGCTCCGCCTCCTCCTTTGCGAGCAAGAGCAGACGGCTTCCTAGTTCCTCTCGCTACGAATCATGGCCTCGACTAAGGCTGGGCGCGAGAGGTCGCCGCCGCCGATCACTTCCACGTGGTCACGGCGATGCTCAGCCCAGGCAGGGCACACCGCCACCGTCTGCTCCACCGTGTCAGGAAATCTAAATTTCTAATTTTAATGCCTTGTGCCAGTGTGATGATTAATGCTTGAACTTTCTCCATATCAGAAGAAGCCCTGCAGTGGGCGCTTACAAACTGATGACGTATGTGATAATTACCAGCATTTATGTCGTCAAAAGATGTCGTTGATCAGAAAAAAAGAGATCTTTGATCAGAGAACTTTTAAAACCAACTTTTTATTTTTATTTTTGAACTTAATAAAGACTTATTGAGCTGACTTATACTAATAACTTAGGGTAAGGGCTGGAAGAAGAAGTTAATATGATGATTTTGTTGATAATAATCGATTTATTTAAGTGTGGGAGCTTGACCGAAGTGATACCACAGCCTGACAGAAAACTCAAAGAGCCAATAAGACCACCACAGACGGGGCCTAGGGCTGATGTACAGCCAGGGTTGCGGGGTAAGCGCAATGAGGCACCGCGACCTCAGCCCAGAGCAGGAGAAGGAACAGGGGGGTTTTTAGTCAGTAAGAGTCTGACACTCCCTTCCGCCCATCACCCGGCCCTGGGTGGGAGAAGTCATTTGATGATTTTCCCCTTATAAAAAAAAGCCTGACAGAAAACCGGAGTGAAATAATCAAGGCGTTGTGTTTGGCCGTGTGAGTGAGGTTACTCGAGGCCCAATTCTTCTTCCCGTTTCCCAATCCCTCCCTAATTTGACTTCGACCTTGAATGAACGGTTGGCGCGGTGGCTGGGCAACTGGCTGCGGGTTCGATTCCCGCACGGAACAACACTTTGTGTGATCCACGAATTGTTGTTTCGCTGATGTCGTGTGTATATGGAATTGTATGTTTGTAAACGAACCCACGACACAGGAGAAAATCCCAGTATGGGCCAACGTTTTTTTCTAAAAACAAAAAACAAAACAAACCGTCTCTAACACTCGGTTTCCGAAAGGCCGATCAATGTTAAAATCTATTTAATCTCTTGTCAAGTGATCTGATTGGTTGACTGAATTATCAACAACCAATCAGATGACTTGACAGGAGATTAGTTAATTTTAGCGTTGACAAGCCTTTCAGAAACCGGGTGTAAGTCTTCGAAATCCTGATCTTTGAATAGCTGGCAACGCACTCTTAATTCTTTCTTCTTGCGGGTGTTCAAAAGCGCCGTTTAATGCTAGCCATTAGGTTTCCACCTGTTTGTTTGTCATCCTATTGCGTACACAGACATAAAAATTCTGACGATCATCTAAATAAATGGGTTGTGATAATATATCACGATATATGATCACGGCCATCCTGGACCCCCTCCTTCCAACCATAACTCATATGGTAAACTATTCCCTTCACTCCGGAGTCTTTCCATCCTTGTGGCGTAAAGCCTTTGTCCGTCCTCTTCCGAAAATTTCCAATCCCACCCTCCCTACTCACTTCCGCCCCATCTCAATTCTTCCTTTCTTGTCTAAGGTGCTCGAGGCCTGTGTCCACAAGCAATTCGCTACCTTCATCCACCGGAACTCCTTAATTAGCCCTGTCCAATCGGGTTTCAGGCCTGGACACAGCACCACAACCGCTCTCCTTAAGGTTACCAGCGATGTGAGGGCAGGGATGGAGGACACAATGGTTACTGTGTTGGTCCTGGTGGATTTCTCGAATGCCTTTAACATGGTCGACCACGATATCCTGCTAGCTATCCTTTCCCGTATTTTGGTTTCTGATGGCGCACTGGAATGGTTCTCATCCTATCTTCGGGGGCGTCAGCAGTTGGTCCAGGTTGACGAGTCGTCGTCAAACTGGTGCCAATTAACGGCTGGCGTTCCTCAAGGCGGAATTCTTTCTCCTCTTTTATTCTCTACTTTTATTAACTGTGTTACCTCCGAACTTCGGTGTGCGTACCATCTATATGCTGACGACTTGCAGTTGTATTGTCAAGCGAGGGTCGAGGATTTGCCTGATGCGATCTCGAGATTGAATGCGGACCTGGCTGCCTTGAATGACTGGTCAACAAAGTTTGGCATTGCCGTTAATCCGAGCAAGTGTCAGGCGATAATTTTGGGGAGCTCCCGTACATTCGGAAGGGTCGATAGCAAAGCTGTGCCGCCTATCCTTTTCGACGGTGCGATCATCTCGTTGAGTAGTGATGTGAAGAATCTCGGCCTATACATCGATAATTGTCTTACCTGGCGGGTTCACGTCGCTGTTGTGTGTAAACGGGTAACGGGAACGCTTCGGGCACTATACCGTCTAAAAAATTTCCTTCCGTCCTCCACCAAGGCAATGCTTGTTCGATCCTTGTTGTTCCCTATCATTGATTATGCGGATGTCTGCTATTACGACCTGAATGCAGATCTACTTAACAAACTTGAACGCCTTCTGAATAACTGCATTCGATTCGTCTTCAATCTGCGCAAATACGACCATGTCTCTGCATATCGATTGCAACTAAAGTGGTTACCCATACGTCAGCGCAGGGAACAACGCGCGCTAACCACTTTATTCTCTCTTCTTTATTCCCCTACTTCTCCTAGTTATTTGGCCCCTTATTTTCAGTATGTAAGCGCCAACCACAGCAAATATCTTCGGTCCACAAATAATCGTCTCCTCCACTGTCCCTCACACCGAACTGACTTTATACATTATTCTTTTTCTGTCCAATCAATTTTGCTGTGGAATGCGTTGCCCACGGATATCAGGACGGCAACCAGTCGGCTATCTTTCAAACTTAAAGTTCACAATTATTTGCTAGAGAAACTGACAGATTCCACTAATTAGTGTATTGTTATTTTGTTCTTGTATATACTCGTAATCTATTCTTCCCATATTTAATTATATTATTTATGTATTATTTATATGTTTTATGTGTATTTGTAGGTTATATTTATTGTATTCATATATTATATTTTTGTATTATATGTATATGTCGCCTTATATGTCTATGCTTTTTAATCATTTGTGTGCTTGTTTAGAACCTATTGTTAACACTTCTCTGCATCACCCGTGAGGTTGACTGGTAGAGAATGCCTTCGGGCATTAAGTCCGCCTTTGTATGTATTTTTTTTATATGTACATAAAGTGTTAAATAAATAAATAAATAAATACACGCTTAGCACAGTGGCTGGGCCACCAACTCCTTGGCAGCGTGATGAGACATCCATTCCGCACGGAACAACCCATTGTAATTACACAAATTGACTTCCGGGTCTGGGTGTGGTTTGTATGTGACTTTTTACGTTCATAAATGCACCCACAACACAGGTCAAAAGGTTGAGCAACGTTATTGAGCAAAAAAAAAAAGATTTGAAGACTCACCGTCCATTCCCTCCTGGTGACATTATCAGAGCTGGGCTGCAGACCATGAATGGTCAGCTGGACGTTCGCATTGCCACCTGTACTCTCAATCTTCGTTAGAGCTTCCATCTCGAAGAATATCTTCTTCGGTTCTTCCTGGCTGTGATGGAAAGCAAAGTGCAATAAACCTTTTATAATAATAATACGTTGAAACTAAGATAAATATTGTCCGTGGTGATAGTTTACAATAAACAGCTTTTGTGTTAAAAGCTAACATGCAGTACAAACACTAAAAAAATGCTAAATAAATAATTTTCATTGTACAAAGTAGGTATTATATTATATGAAGTAGGTAATTTATAGAATAGGTAGGTAATTAATATTAGTTATTGTAACAAAACTTTTTATAATATTATGTAAAACCTACAACCACAAGTCAATACTAGATGCTGTTGTACGTATGACGTCATATTTACATGGCGGTGTTAAGATTCTCCGCGACTTAATGACCCCCGCCAGTACATTTGTGTTTTGAGAGTGAAGGCTACTATCAAGGTGCACTCTCGGGCTACGTCCTACTTGGAATAGTCACTTGAGACTCCTCTGCATAGCAAGTCGCGGACACTATATTATACTTTTATCACAATAATTGTATAATTTTTTGGGTTAGAGGACTGCATCCGCCACCTTCGTCCAAGCGGAAAGGGTTGTGTGGGACTGCGCCTATTTTATTTTACCAAAATATATACGTTGACACCATCGACCTTTCTTTCCTTCACGAACGCGTGACGACACCGGAACAAGAACCTTTTACAGTATATTCTTTTACATTATAATTATATTATACATATTATTAGTATTTAATATAATAGTTAGGTAATATTTTAATTTTGTTTCTTTTATTTTTTTTACAATTATTGTGTGATGTAATTTTCTTTTTATTATTTTTTTTATATTTTTGAATTTTTCTTTTTTGTCGGTTTTTTTTTCATTTTGTGTAATAATTTTTAAGTAGTAGTTTAACAGAATTGTGAAAAGTAATTGTGTAGGAAATCAATGCCATGCCGCGAATTGGACAGTTCGACCGCAGTGATATTACGGCCTTATAAAATACTGACGTGAAAAAGACCTTATAAAGCAACTTAAAGCTCAATCCACCGAACCTACTTTTCGGAACAATCACCAAATTTTCCTTGAATAATAATTTTCACGTTTCAAAAATATATAAATTTTCCACAATATATGTATAAATGTTTTTTTTCTGGAGGGAAAACCAGTAAATGTCTTTAGTCTCTCGACCAGGGTATTGCCTGACGGAGTGTTAGAGTCATTACTAAAAACCCCACCGTTCCTTCTCCTGTAAGCACAATGAGGCACCGCGATCTCAGCCCAGAGCAGGAGAAGGAACAGGGGGGTTTTTAGTCAGCAAGAGTCTGACACTCCCTCCCGCCCGGCCCTGGGCGGGAGAAGTCATTTGATGATTTTCCCCTCACAAAAAAAAAAACCGTTCCTTCTCCTGCACAAGGGCGCGGTAACTTTTGACATTGTTTAAGTAATTACTGTTTTGACTTTTGTTTATGGACTGTAACTATTTAATTTATAAAGCAGTAAGTTTAAGTTTTAGGATGACATGTTTATAATCTGTAACACTTAAAATTAACTTTTGCATGCCTACTGGTAAAATATGGCTGAGCTCGCATTGTACCTAACCTAACACCACTAATATTATTGTACTACCCATATTTGCAAAATAAACTATCTCTTTATCTCTTTATCTCTTTAACTTACTGCACTTAATCCAAGACCCTGGCTACTATATAAATACTTTACATTACAACCTACCTGAAATAATTCAACATCATAGACAGATCAAACTTCGTGGTATCCTCGTTGACGCTCATCTCATTCAGCTGAATCTTCAACTGCAGGATATCGTTGGCAGTCTTCATCAGGTGCTGAGGAGGGAGTATGAGGCCACAAGACCCTGAGGGGGGTGAGGTGAAGAGAAGTATGCTGTTAAGGATGATCAGGGAAGGCTGGATTGAGGTTAGGAAGCTGCAATGAGAGAAAAATATCAGTTCACAATATAATAATATTATATATGTAAGTGTCCACTGCTGAGCAAAGGCCCCTTATAAAGGTTTGAGCATTCATCACCACGCTTGTTCAATGCGGATTGACTATTGTAAACTTTTAATTAGAAATTACAAGACCAGGTTTCTTCACGATGTTTTTTTTCACCATAATATGTCAGTGGTGTCTAAGTAATTATAGAAAGTATATAACAATTCGAAAGGTGTCACTTTGGTATTTGCAAAATTTTGGACCAGTACAATAGCTGTTACGGTTACTTGGTATCCAAGTGATAAAAGACGGATTCATTAGATAAACTGCTAGCTGCTAAGCCGACAATTAGGAACGCAATCATAGCTTCGTTGCCAAATTCCTTTTTTTTTTGAGGGAATATCGGCAAAAGTCTTCTCTCGCCCAAGGGAATGTCAGTCTGTTACTGTACTATTAAAAACTCCGCCATTCCATCTTCTGCTCTGGCCGAGGCCGCGGTACCTCATTGCGCTTGCCCCGCAACCCCGGCTGAACATCAGCCTTATTGGGCCCAGTCTGTCTGAGCTTACAATAGGTGATGATATTTATAGAAAAGACTTGTAAATAGCAAATTAGCACTTAAAAACTTACTCATAATGATTGTTTTTGGATGTAAACAGCTTGTCCAATACTTCGGCTCCTGTCATTGGTCTTTCGCAATCGAAGAAAACGCTTTTGTTGTCCAGATTCTGCAAAATGAATTAAAATCAAAAAGTCATCTAAAGGAGCGGTGTCATGGCTAGAAAAGTTAGCTTTTTTTATGTAATAGATCGGCAAACGAGCAGACGGATTACCTGATGGTAAGCAATCAGCGCCGCCCATGGACACCCGCAACGGAAGAGTTACGAGTGCGTTGCCGAGCTTTTAAGGATTAGGGATTTGGAGATTAAGGGATTGGAAACGGATCGGGAGACAGGAAAGATTGGGCCTCCGGTAACCTCACTCACACGGCGAAACACAACGCTGATGTTGTTTTTACGCCGGTTTTCTGTGAGGCCTTGGTATCACTCTGGTCGAGCCGACCCATTCGTGCCGAAGCTTGGCTCTCCCACACTTAAACCAATTATGTCAAAGTATCTTCATACTCACCGCCAAGCTATTGTCACCAGCAGTGACGGTAGAAGTAGACTTTAATGAGGAGGTTTCCACAGCTATCTGCGCTCGGGAGTGCATCGCCACTCCTCCTTGCTGAGCACCTGGGTTTGGCCATGTCAATCTGGAAAACCATTGAAATATTAGTTTTTTTTTTTGTGAGGGGAAAATCATCAAATGACTTCTCCCGCCCAGGGCCGGGCAGGAGGGAGTGTCAGACTCTTACTGACTAAAAACCCCCCTGTTCCTTCTCCTGCTCTGTGCCGAGGTCGCGGTCACCTCATTGCGCTTACCCCGCAACCCCGGCTGAACATCAGCCCTTTAGGGCCCCGTCTGTGGTGGTCTATTGGCTCTTTGAGGCGCGCGCGGAACGCTACGCGCCGTACGCTCGGGATTGAAATATTAGTGCATTGTTTTTTATTTCCCAAAAAGATATTTTATATCATCCACTAGCTTTTGCCCGCGACTTTGTTCGCGTGGAATAATGACTTCCTGCGGATTTTTGGTTAAAAACTATCCTATGTCCTTTCTCGAGTTCCAAACTATGTCTGTACCAAATTTCACACAAATAGGTTCAGTAGTTTAGGCGTGAAGAGAAGACAGACAGAGTTACTTTCGCATTCATATTTCGCATATTAGTTTGAATTAGTTTTGATGTGTTTAGGTACTAATATTCTCTCATTGTTAAAAAAAAAACTGGCAATCCACATCATCAACAGCGTAAAAGTGTCCACTGCTGAAAAAAGGCCTCTTCTCACACGGAAAAGGTTTGAGCATTAATCATAACGCTTGCTTAATACCGAAAACTAAATACTAATATTATAAAAAGGTGAAATTTATTTATTATGATTTCGGTTTTCGGAAACACAGAGACATTCTAAAATAATTATAATAAATAATTTAGAATGTCTCACGAAAGTTATAATAAAAAAGGTAAAATTTGTTAATTTCTATGTAGGGTGTAATCTTTGGGACCGCTGGTCAGATATTCAAAATTCTTTCACTAAAAGATAGCTACAATATCTCTTAGCGATTCGAGCTTAGTGTTTTAAATTGTACTTGATTTGCTTATTTTAGACAACCTATCGCTTTAAACGCTGCTGTTTTTTAAAATCCTGAGATACTTTTTAGTCGCAGGCGGTAGCTAGTCTTCTTATATATAAAAATGGATCGCAAAATGTGTTGGTAAGCGCATAACTCAACAACGCCTGAACCGATTTTGCTAATTCTTTTTTTGTTGTATTTGTTATTGTCAGGAGAAGGCTCTTATGCAAGAAAATTTTAGAAAAGTAGAGGGGAGGGTTGTGAAAAAGTAACCCTTTGATAGCGGATAGTTGAACCCGTGCGAAGCGGGGGCGGGCCGCTAGTTACGAAATAAAAGAAAGGAACATTAACGTTCGTGTCGGAGTGTGGCTCTTCCACGTCATATAAAATTAAGACTTACTCAATATTCTTGTCGACATTTGAGAATGATACATTGAATCTCATCGGTACATGAGCTACCAGCGATTGTTGGATGCGCGCCGAGTGCAGACTTCGTACCAGTGGACCATCCGTCGAAAGCGTCGTCACTGATGTGCCTTGGTACCTGGATCATATAAGGTTCAAGTTAAGGTGGTTGAAGAGCTTATCAGGATGATAGGGAGCTCCGAAACTGTCGAATATCACTACATAGTATAAAACAAAGTCGCTATCTCTGTTCCTATATCCAGTATGTTTTGAACTATAAAGGGGAGTTAGTTATTAATCAGTGAGAGTCTGACACGATTTGCTCACCCAAGGCGGATTCTATATATTTTCGGAGTAACAAGAATCGTATCGAGACGACACTGAGTGTTTTGTTATTTTTAACCGACTTCCAAAGAGGAGGAGGTTCTCAATTCGTAATACCGTATATATGCTTTTTTTATGTTTGTTCGCCGATATCTCCGTCATTTTTGAACCGATTTTGATAATTCTTTTTTTATTGGAAAGGAGATAATCCCAGAATGGTCCCATTATGAGGAAATCAGGATGTGATGATGGAAGACCAGAGAAATCGAGGGGAACTTTCAAAAATTGTAGGGGCGAGTGGTGCTTTTGCATATGATTTCAGTAGACTTTTGACAAATTTACAACTTTCCGATGTTCGAACCCGACCTGATGATGGAGCCGGAAGACAGTCGAGGGATCTCCTTGACTATTTGGAGTAGTTGCCTTTTGTTTGGGCTTGAATGATTCATGGCACCGACTTCAAAATTATAAAATAGTTATTAAATATTATTTTCTATTTAACTAAATGAAAATATGTATTACTTTGAACAAAGGAAAAATATTTTTTTTTTCTTTTTAGTTTTTTTTTGTATGTAATAGCAGTAATAGAGCAGACTGATTACCTGATGGTAAGCAATCAGCGCCGCTCATAGACCTTTCGTTGCCGACCTTTTAGGGATTAGGGATTTGGAGATTTAGGAACTGGGGAGGGATTAGGGAAGGGGAAGGATTGGGCGTTTCCTTTTTGAAGTCGGTTTTTTTTGTTTTCATAGGTTTAGAGTTGTTTGAACTTGAATAGGTTTAGAGTTGTTTGAACTTGAAAGCTTTTTATTAAAACATTGAACGAGAAAGAGAAAGAACTTTAATATTAAAAACTGAACCAGAAAAGTATAATAACTGATCAGACTATATGCCACGCTAAATGGAAAATTTCGTATATACCTGATATGCAGATCATTCTTCCAAACTTTATCTTGAGTAGAGGGCGCTGTGAGGTTCCCTCTGATTGAAGTAAAAGATAGAATTGTTGATTGTAAACGGATTGGAGTTCCTGCAAAACACATGAGATTATATATTATATTATATATATTATATTATACTTGAACACACTAGCAGCTTAGATAGCTGATGCGTGCGGATTTGGAGATTTTGTCGAGTTTGTTTTTAAAAGAATTAACTGTGGGTGCTTTTATCACATTTTCTGGGAGTTTATTCCATTCCGTGACCACCCTATTAGGTAGGAAGTGTGTCAAGGGATTCAGTTTTGAGGATGTTCTGCATAGTTTTAATGAGTGCCCTCTCAAATTTCGATTTTTATTAAGAAGATACATATTCTTAAGTCCAGGAACGTTGTAGCAGTCACTCATTATTTTGTAAGACTCAATAAGGTTTCCTCTCTGTCTCCGCTATTATTATTATCATATTATTAAGAGAATCGAGTCGTGTAGCCCGGAGGTTAAAGAGCCCGCTTCTCATGCTTAAGGGTGTTCGAAACCTGGCAAGTACCAATGTGACTTTTTCCGAGTTATATGTACTTTCTATGATCATTTAGGCACCACTGACATACGGTGAAGGTAAAATCGTGAGGAAACCTGGACTTATAATTTATAATTATAAGTTTGAAATCGCCAACCCGCATTGAACAAGCTTGGTGATTAATGCTCTAACCTTCTCCGTACGAGAAGAGGCCTTTGCTCAGCAGTGGGCACTTATATGAGAGTTAATGATGAAGAGGATCGAATTGAAAGAAATGAAATGAAATATAGTATAACTGTTACTGTAAAGCCCATATCTTTAATAAAATTTTATGTTCACTAGCTTTTACCCGCGACCCCGTTCGCGTGGAATAGTGATTTCCTGCAGATTTTTGATCCTATGTCCTTTCTCGAGTTCCAAACTATGTCTGTACCAAATTTCACAGAAATCGTTTCAGTAGTTTAGGCGTGAACAACAGACAGACAGACAGAGTTACTTTCGCATTTATAATATTAGTTTCGATTCATTAGTATCATTAAAACAATGAAACAATGAAACAATGAATTTATTTTTGCAAATAGGCCATAAAACGGCACTTTTACACGTCAATTTATATGTGAAAAACTAGATGAAGTTGTGTTTTCATATCAAAAATATAATGATTTAAGAGAAAGTACTTATCTTATATTAAATAATGGAATAAATTGCACCCGGTGGAGTCGCTAGTAATTATTTAAAAAAGAAAATTCCACTGATTTGTAAGATGCCATATTAAAGAAATATAATCTTACCCATTTCGCTGGGAATATTGACATCAGTCTGGAATGGGTAGTACACGATCTGCTGGTTAATGTGGCTTCCGAAACGAAGAAAGTCCTCTATGTAGGCCACTGGAATGATCAAATTCAAGTTAATCTGAAGAGTAAGAACGGATCTGACCAAGAAGATCACCAGTCAGGTCATGAGAAGACGACAGGGGTCGCGGGTTAAACACAATAAGGTACCACGACCTTGACCTGGAGGAGGAGAAGGATCGAGGGGTTTTTAGTCAGTAAGAGTCTGACAGTCCCTCTCGCCATATTCTGAGCGAGAGGATCCAATTGATGATTTTCTCTCCTCACAAAAAAGGGGTGATGTAGAGAGAAAAAGAAGAAAACTTAGAGACGGTAAACTTTGATTGCAAAATGCAACTTAAATATGTGCAAGAATTAAATGTTACGAAAAATATTTAGTTTTTATTTGGTAAATATTTTTCATGACATTTAATGTCATGGATTTCCGCAAAGAATCAGGAGTTACTTTTACTTTCTATAAATTATGTGCAAGAATATATGGGTTTAGCAGATGGAATGGTCACATCAATAGTAAGCTGTTTATGCTGGGTCTTTTCTTCATAAGAGACATAGGATAGTATGGTTCACTCGGGTCACATGATGGTAAGCAATCAGCGTCGCTTAAAACATCAGCATTTTTGCTTATGAATTTCGGCTGTGGACCTGAACCCTTAGAGCATTTAAAACTTAAAAATCCATTGTCTATCTTTTAGAGGTCAGGAATTTGAAGATTGATTATGGAAGGAGGAAAGATTTGGGTCTCTGGTAACCTCACTCACGCACCGAAAAACTATGCTGGTTATCTGTGAGGCCGTGGTATCCATCCGGTAGACCCATTTGTGCGGCAGTATAAAGAGAGACAGAGACAGAGTGCTGAGAGACAGAGTCAGACTCTTACGGCCTTATTATAAAACAAGGTTTTACTTTAGTCTAGGACTAAACCATTGAGTCAGTTTTCGTATTTCGAATTGAAGGTAGATGACAATAAGATTCAAAATTCAAAACCTGGACTAAAGATAAACCTTGTTTTGTAATAAAGGGGTTAGTGACTAAAAATCACCACGTTCTTTCTCCTGCCCTAAGCCGGGGCTTCGGTATTGGCGATGCAAAGATTCTAACTAGCGCCTCTAGTGTCGAAATTGTGAAGCTTTCTAAGAACGACACTTTGACAGTTTTCCTAACAATAAATTCAACAAATAAACAAAGTGTCGTTCTTAGAGAGTTTCTAAATTTCGCCGCTAGAGGCGTGCGGATAATCTTTGCTTCGCCAATAGTATAGCTTGATCTGCCACCCTGGCTGAGAATAGCACATATTCTACTTATGATTAGGGGTAACGCAGCCGAAACCATTGGTAACAGTTAGTGATAAATATTATTCTCCCATTAAAGAACTTTTTACTTACAGTCTTCCCCGCTTCCACTTTCGAAGCGCGATTGATTCATATGTGTTGCGAATACGGCCTTATCGTGAATCTTGACCACCACATCTATGTGGACCTGGTGGAAAGATTGTATATTAGACATGCTCATCATCAGCCTATAAGTGTCCACTGCTGAGCAAAGCCCTGTTCTCACACGGAGAAGGTTTGAGCATTAAACACCACTTTTACTCAAGGCGGATTCGAGATTTGTCAGTGGTGTCTAAATACATTTAAGGAGTACATATAACTTAGAAAAAGTCACACTGGTAATTGACAGGTTTTGGGCCCAACTAGACTATTATCTAACTAATCATTAAAGAGGTTTTTTAGGAAAATATGTTGACTGATAACTTGATGATAAGTACGATGATAAGCAATCATCATTTTGTCATGTAAGTTGTGTTAATTATTCAAGAACTTTTTTAATATCTTATTGACACTAAAACATACCAGTTTTAGTGTAGTTTCTAACTTGCAATTGATGCTTATTTTTGTTTGTTTTGTTGTATTTTTCTCTTATTATTGTACATAGCTTGAATGCTTTGTGTGACATGACCGGAGACATTCTTTCTTTCTTTAGGTAAACATACAGAAAACAATGGCGTCATCTATACTAATATTATAAAGAGGTAAATTTTTTAAGTTTGTATGTAGGAGGTAATCTATGGAACCGCTGGTCGGATTCCAAAATTCTTTCACTTATTGATAGCTACAATGTTCCCGAGTGCTATAGGCTATAAAACATCATGCTACAATCAAATGGAGCTGAGAAGCGCGTGAAACCGCTAGTGAGTGTATACCTTAGCTTTCTTTCTTATACAGAAAGGGTTTTATTTTATTTCTTGCTCTAATTGACTTTGATATTGACTTTGACTTTGACTTTTGACCTTCTTTTTACCCTGGCAGTAGGTAAGGACGAAGCCGCTGCAAGAAACTAGTACTCAAATAATACCTTCTCCGGCGCCTTCACAGCCCAGACCCTCATCTTCTTTAAGACGTGTATCAGATCTTCCACCTTCAGATTCTTCTCGTTGAAGTGATTTAACTTCTTGAAGAGACTGGTTGCTACTCCTTGCATCACTAGGTAGATCTGGAATTTAATATCATCATCATCATCATCGTTGTCAGTATTTTAAAATACAGATGACATTTTTATATATCATAATATGTCGGTAAACAAGTAGACGGATTACCTGATGGTAAGGCCATACTATAAATGTTATATTATTGAAATTGTAAAACATTTTTTTTTTTAAAAAGAGTAACGAATGGAGTTTCTTGCTCGTTCTTCTCCATTCGAATCTACAATTTGGAATGAGCACCTAGCTTCACTGACGAACAGACTGACAGACTACTTTTCTATTTTGACGTTTCAAAAGTACCTATTTATGGTTTAGTTGGAATAAATGATTTTGACTTTGACTTTGACTTTAAGCAATCAGCGCCGCCCATGGACACTCGTAAGTTACACAAGCTACACAATTGCATCGTCTTGTCTTGTATTTTATTAGGGATTTAAGGATAGGGGATTTGAGGGTTAAGGATGGATTGGGTCACCAGGTAACCTCAAACACAAGTTGCATAAGTGTTGACCGTGGTATCTCCGGTCGAGCCGGCTCATGCGTGCCAAAGCCTGGCGATACCCAGGAGTAACACATGACCACGCACACACACACACACACGTATCACGCTGGCGAAGCCCCGGGCGGTAGCTAGTTTCGGATATTGTGATTGAATATGGGAGAGCCATGCTTCGGCATGAATGGGTCGGCTCGACCGGATTAATACCACGAAAACCAGCGTGAAACAACCATAGCGTAGTGTTTCGCCGTATAAGTGAAGTTACTGGAGGCCCAATCCTTTTCCTCCCCCAATCCCTTAATTTTCAAATCCACAATCCCCTAAAAATAGGCAACACACTCGTTGTTGCAGATGTCAATGGGTGGTACTATAAATATTTACAGTTAAAGTACCTATTAGATACACCCTTAAAATATGTATGTATATTAAAATATCATCATCATCATCATCAGCCTATAAATGCCCACTGCTGAGCAAAGGCCTTTTCTCATACTGAGAAGGTTAGAGCATTAATCACCACGCTATATGTTTCAATGCGGGTTGGCGATTTCAAACTTATAATTAGAAATATAAGGTTTCCTCACGATTTTTACCTTCTCCGTATGTCAGTGGTGTCTAAATAATCATAGAAAGTACATATAACTCGGAAAAAGTCACATTGGTACTTGCCAGGTTTCGAACCCACACCCTCATGCATGAGAAGCGGGCTGCTTAACCTCCGGGCCACCACGACATTATATATATATATATATATATTAAAATATATTTTGTTGTTATCATGTCACATGACAATAAAATACTTACATCAGCCTTAAAAGGTCTTCTCCCACCAGTGCACAACCTCGCTCCAATGAAGTTCGGCAGAACCCCTTCAGGATCCCCCACACTGAAGACCTGTAATGATGCTGCACTGTCTTCCTCCTGGGCGCTGATGATGTAATTATTCGTTGCCCAGTATAATGGATCCGGGTTTGATACCTGATTCACTACGAACGGCACATAGAAAGAGCTGGAAATGAAATGTTTTTTGAATTTTAGTTTCGAAAAATAACAATTGGGTAGTTTTCTAGGTCAAAAATAAATTAATTCGACGTTTCAATACAATAAAATATGAATATTGAAAAATAACTTTACTTTTATTTATCGATCTGTCGATACAATAAAATTTTCGATATATTTAGCTATTTTTTAAAGAAATAAGTAAGCTATTTGACGCAAAAATACTATGACCTCATAATTTGGAGTATCGTTTTTGACATTTGGATTAAAGCATTGAATTTGACTAGTTGTAAACTACCGTACACAATACGGTAGTTCACGGTACGGTGGTTCAATATAGCGAGCAGGAGACGAAAGGGGATGGTTTTTAGTCAATAAGAGTCTGACACCCCTCTCACCATATCTCTATGGGGACTCCTACACAAACGTGATTGAGGTACAGCAGAACCCGTTTTTTTTAGTCAGAAAAATCCCCTTATTCCTTCTCTTGCCTAGGGTAATGTGAGAGGGAATGTCAGACTCTTACTGACTAAAAACCACCTCGTTTCTTCTCCTGCGCCAGGCCGAGGCCGTGCAATTGCGGGTACAATTCCTGAACGGAACTCTTTGTGTGATCCACAATTTTTTTTTTTGAGTCTGTGTGGATCTAAATTTGTATATTTGTGAACGCACCCACGACACATGAGAAAAAGCTAGCTAGAAAAAAAAACTACACAACTCTTAAAAAATCTCTTTAAATAATATCTTCTGATTTATTTCGTTGTGGGATCCAAGACAGTCATTCATGTCCCTGAGACGCGACGAACTTCAGTGTACCGGTGTTTTCATGGTTGTATCTACGGTAGATCCTGGTGCACAGGAGATGCAGTGGTTTTGAGAAACAGCAGCGGGCTTGTCTCATCTCGTAAAAAAAGCTTGAAAAAACCAACAATAAGATACTTACGTAATTCTATAGCCAGAAAAATTCTTATTAGCTTCCAAATTCTTCATGGTTGCAAACCAAAATCTCTTTAGCTGGTTATTGTGGCAGTTTCTAATATAATTATGCACGAACATGAAGTCAGTTTCCCGGACGTTTGAGGAGCCAAGGAATGAGTGCAACGCTATGATCCTAAGTTGGATGTGTTCCGTTTCATTTGTTATTATTGGTAAAGTTGTTTCAAGCACCTGAAAAAGTTTAGACGATCAATTTCGTTCACAATCGATGCATGTATCATTTATCAATTAATAATACTAGCTTTTGCCCGCGGCTTCGCTTTCGCTTCGCGGCTTTGCTTGGGGGTAAAATTAATCAAAAGCCTTTCTTAGCGGATGCCTACGTCATAACATCTACCTGCATGCCAAATTTCAGTCCGATCCGTCCAGTGGTTTGGGCTGTGCATTGATAGATCACTATATCAGTCACCTTTGAGTTTTATATATTTAGATTATAATAATTTTGTATGTTTGTAAGTTTGTATGTAGGGGGTAATCCTTGAAACCGCTGGTTGGATTGCCGTAATTGTTTCACTGATAGATAGCTACAATGTTTCTGAGTGCTTTAGGCTATAAAACATGCCATTACGATCAAATGGAGTCTAGCAACGGGTGAAACCGCGCGAGAGAAACTAGTATTTTATAAATCAATTTTATAAGTCGCCGAAAGATCACTCTTTTCCTTATCCCACCCGAACTGTAATTCTCTACAATCAGTCCAGTCTAAACATTAAAATAACCGCATCAAAATCAATTGCAAATTTTTAAATATTTAAGAACGTAGGGACAGAGCTAGCGACTTTGTTTTATACTATGTGTGCGAGAGCCATGCTTCGGCCCGAATGGTCCGGCTCGAATGATACTACGACCTCGCAGAAAAAAGGCGTGAAACAACCACAGCGTTGTGTTTCGCCGTGTGAGTGAGGTTAACGGAGGTCCAATCCTTCCCCTCCCCCAATCCCTCCTCAATCCCTAAATCTCAAATTCCCTAATCCCTAAAAGGTCGGTAACGCACTCGCAACTCCTCCGTTGAGGGTTTCCATGGGCGGCGCTGATTGCTTACCATCAGGTAATCAGTCTGCTCGTTTGCCGACCTATCACATTCTAAACTTCGAATCTGAATCCGCTGTGAGTAGTACACTAGCGCTACACTTGCGAGTTGAACTAAATTGACCGCAACATTTTGATAGATAAAGTATAAGATGACGTTAAAAGTGGCATTCTATAATGTAATTTCTCCGTCACTTTAACGCTCACTTCACACTCGAACAAGATTCAAAATCAAACAAATTTTATAGAATCGACGTTCAGGAGACCCAATACTTCTCCTCCCCAATCCCTCCCCAAGGTTCACAAATGGTCGGCACACCTCCTCCTCTGCTGTTGCGAGTGCTCATGAGCGCCGCTGATTGCTTACCATCAGGTAATCAATCTGTTCGTTTGTCGCTCGTTGACTATTACACAAAAACATAAAAAAATACTATCGCAATTAATTTACAAAAAAAATCTTAAGTCTTCTCACCGTATAAGGATCCTCAGTCTTAGGGCTTCCAGCCAGAGCCGCCCAGAGTCTCTCATGACGATCTCTCGAGGAGTCTGTATGTATGATCCTAGTATACGACTCAGCCGAATAGCCAATATTGCACAGTCCTTGAAGCCATATCATCCTGTCCAGATACTGGGGACAGTCTGGAAGAAATTGGTCATAATAAACACATGGTCAAGAGCCGTGGAAGTGAGGTTACCGGAGGCCCAATAAATTCCTTCCCAATCCCTAAATATCCGAAACTCTTATCCCCAAAAGGCCGTAACGAGTGCGTTGCCGTCCTTTTAGGGATGAGGGTTTTGGAGATTTAGATCGGAGGAAATGGGAGGGGAAGGGTTGGGCCTCCGATAACCTCTTTCACACGGCGATTTATTTTAACTTAATTTTAACTTTCAGTTCAACTTTATAGAAAGGAATTTTTTGAGTAATTAGCCCGTTTGTCGTATATTCGTTTAGTAAAAATCTGTTATTTTACTATTACAAATAGGCAATCCAATTTAATTTATTATATACGTGCTAGCCCCGCGACCCCTGTGTTGCCTCAAATATAGCTAATGTTCCGACCTAAAACGTTCCCTGGACTTAAACCAATATTTTTAGACCAAAAATATTCAAAACGGAGCAGCCGTTCTCGAGTTTTAGCGACACTAACGAACATCTATTTATTATTATATATAAGATAATAGATAACTAGCTACTCTCGCGCGGTTTCACCCGCTGCTCAGCTCCATTTGATCGTAGCGTGATGTTTTATAGCCTATAGCATTCAGGAACATTGTAGCTCTCTATCATTCAATTGCTTAATTAAGGATTCAATTGCTTAGCTGTAAGACTAAGCGGACGTAATTATTGTTGTGATTATAATGAGTCATTATTAATTATAAATATTAATTACTAAAAAATTTTAGCACACTTGCAAAAATAAAGTGTGTCGCGTGAAGTAAAGTGTGTTTGCGAGTAACTTACGTTGCATCTTTGTACACTGTGCAAGATGAACTAAGTACTTTCAAAAGTAATAAATAGTGTTAGTATGTCTAACCCGTCTACCTCAGGACTAAGCCCTTTTGGGCGTAGCCAATTACTACGGCGTAGTCCACCGCCGACGCCATCGCCGTCTGAACAGCACCACCAAAAAGACCCAGAGCCGCCAGCGTCCACTGAGCCTGAAGTAGAATTGGTTTCTACGCCGGAGATCCAGAAATGGTTGTCTTCCATTGACGGAATTATGTCGGAAGTTTGTGGCATTGTAGCGGAAGGAAAAATGAACAACGACCAGAAACTCCGCGTCACCAACCTATGCCGTAAGGTTTCTCATGGGACATCGCAGATGGCAGTACTATACCAGTCCCTGAAGCAGAAAACAATCCAGGCCCATTTTACCATCCAACAATTACAAGGACAACAGGAAATTGCAAACTCCCTCCAAGAACTAAAAAAAGTTGTAGAAGCTGAACGTAAGTCAGAGTGCACTTCCTATGCCAATATGGTAAAAAAAGGAGAGGACAAATTCATTCGGCCAGCCAATCTCAGCTCTCTTGCTATCTACCCGAATGATAAGACGCAGACCAGTGACGCAACCAAGAGCCTAGTTCAGCAAATTATCTCCCCTGAAGAGCTGAAACTTCGAGTCCGCGGGTTGAAGAAAATTAGAAACGGAGGCGTTATTATCAGTGCGGATAGCAAAAGCGATATAGAGAAGCTGAAAGCATCCGAAAAACTAGTTTCCTCAGGCCTCAAAGTCGAAGAACCTTCTAAACGTCGACCACGTATTGCTGTCATTGGTATCCCTGTAGCCCTCACTGAATCGGAAGTCATGGAGTGCATCTATGAACAGAATCTCTCAGACAAATTGCCGAATACTACGCGTGCGTCCTTTTTAAATGATATAAGACTAAGCCACAAGTCCGGTAAGAAAGATCGTCCGACTTGTAATTATATTATAGAAGTTCCAGCTACCATTAGGAAAATGCTGATCAATCAAGGCCGTATTTTTATAAATTGGACGTCTTGCCCCGTAAGAGACTTTACAATAGTGACCAGATGTTTCAACTGCCAACAGTTTGGTCATGCAGCCAAGTTTTGCCGCGAAACAAGCCCTACATGCAACCACTGTGGAGAGACGGGACATTCTTTCAAAGAATGTAACAAAACATCTTCTCCTGCCACATGTGCAACCTGCAAGAGGTTCAAGCGGAAGTGTGACCATGAGACTGGTGATGTGAACTGCCCGGCACGTAAATATGCAGAAGACAGTTACATTCACACAATAGACTATGAAGGCGCCTAAGAGCGCCACCTATTTTATTTGTAAGTAGCACATAAACACTAGTCTTAACTTCTATTTTTATCTTTACTTATTACATCTTAACAATATGACCAATAGTCTCATTAGCGATATTGATAATTTTTCCGTATCTGAATCCATCGTTTGCAACGTTGAAAACTGCAAAAATTTTATTCCTACTGGTGATAAGATACTAACCTTCCTAACTCAGAATATTCGTAGTATAAGTCGGAATTTTAATGGGTTTGAAGTACTTTTACAGAACCTTGATATAAGCTGTGATGTCATTGTACTTACAGAATGTTGGTTATCTAAACAAACAGATAATTTGCCAATGTTGGATGGTTATACTTTGTACAAAACAGTGACAAATATCAATCAGAATGATGGTCTGGTTGTATATATTAAAAATATCCTTAAAGTATCTGTGGAAGAACCTTTATTTCAAGGCTGTAATAGTCTCTTAATTAAAATTAACCTAGATACAATAGCTTTGGCTGTATATAGGCCACCATCGCAAAATGTAGATATATTTATAGAATCGCTTAGTACTATTTTAGAACAACTTTCGTGTTATAATAATATAATACTTTTAGGTGACATTAACATAAACATTGCTTCTGGGAAAATTAACACTCATGCACATAACTACCTGAATATCTGTACATTCCATGGACTATTGCCAGCCCATGATCACCCTACACATCAGAGTGGTTCATGCTTAGATCACATCATTATAAAATCTAAATTACCTTCTAAAACTTACATTACTAATTCATCGCTTACAGATCACCAAGCAATATTGCTAACTTTACAAATGTCGTTACCTAGAAAAAACTGCATGCGTACCATAACAAAACTAAATATGACTACACTTGAAAACGACATGCGTGACTTAAATCTTGACCCCGTTTACAGTTCTAGTGATCCAAATATTAGTTTGCAGTATTTTATTGACTCATTACAAACAATGATTAGTAATAATACTACTAATAAAATTGTACCTAGAAAATACTGCAATATTAAGCCGTGGATTACGCCCGGCCTTGTCCGTTGTATTAGACATAGGGATAGACTACACCAAAAACTGAAAGTCGCACCTGATAACGAGATACTTTCTGTTACTTATAGACGCTACAGGAATTTCTGCAATAATCTATTGAAAAAACAAACAAAGTTGAAATACAAAAAGCCGGTAAGAACAGTAAGCTCATTTGGAAAGTCGTTAAAAACAATACTTATAGATCAAAAAAATCAGACTCTGCTCTAGAACTTTTAGCAACGGATACAACCCCAATTCTAGCAGCAAATAAAGTAAACAAATACTTTGTTAACATGGGTAAAAATCTAGCTGAAAAAGCTTTATCCAGAAATTCCTTTCCGCAAAGTACAACTATGTCACTCAATACCTTAGGTTCGTTTGTGTTACTCGACACCGACGTCAAAGAAATAGTTAGTATTATAGATGGATTAAAGGACTCTTGTGCTGTTGGGTGGGATAACATCCCTAATAACGTACTTAAAAGATTCAAGCACATAATTGCACCTCCACTAACATATATATTTAACTTATGCTTAACGAACGGTATATTTCCCGATCTGCTTAAAAAGGCCTTAGTCACTCCCGTTTTTAAAGCCGGTGACAAAACTAATATTACCAATTATAGACGGATTGCAGTACTATCAGGCCTTTCTAAGATTTTGGAGAAAATTATTAACGTTAGACTAACTAAATATCTTGAGAACAAAAATTTGCTCTCCGATCGTCAATTTGGATTTAGATCTAAAAGATCAACTAACCAAGCGGTTCATCAACTCACTAATTATGTATGTACAAGTCTGGATAAAAGTTTGTACACAATTGGGATCTTCTTAGACCTTGCGAAGGCATTTGACACCATTTCTTGCTCCCTGTTATTCCATAAACTTGAAAAATATTGGTATAAGAGGAGTACAGGTAAAATTATTCACGGACTATCTTAAAAATCGTCAGCAGTGTATAAAAATTGGTCAATATAGAAGTTCGGAACTAAAAAACAGTAGTTACGGAATTCCTCAGGGTAGTATATTGGGTCCTACTTTATCCTAATATATATCAATGACCTATGCAGCTTGACCCTCCAAAATGGTGTTATTATGTCATATGCTGATGACACAGCTCTTGTGTTCACAGGTAAATCAAAAGATGAGGTCTATGAATTTGCCCAAAATGGTTTTAATGTAGTGTCTAATTGGTTTCGTAATAATCTCCTAACATTGAATTCAGATAAAACAAATTACATGTTATTTTCAATGAGAAATGCCCACATATCCACTACTAACCTAAACATTTATGCACATAATTGTCATACGAGTACGACCGCTGACACAGCATGCGCTTGCCCTACATTAGTAAAGACTGACTATATAAAATATCTAGGTGTTACTATTGATGCGAATCTCAATTTCCGAAAACATATTGATTTATTATGCACTAGAGTACGAAAATTAATCTATGTCTTTAAATACTTGCGCAACATTGCAGACTTTACCTTGATACGCCAGGTGTATATGGCTTTGTGTCAATCCATTCTTACTTACTGTATTAACTCATGGGGTCGTGCTCCAAAAACTATTCTCTTGCCCCTAGAACGTGCTCAAAGAGCAATCCTGAAGGTCGCCACCTTTCGTCCTTTCAGATTTCCTACTCACCAGCTATACAGGGAATGCAAACTACTGACAGTACGCCAGTTATTCATCCTTAACATAGTACTACTGCAGCATACTGAAATTGGTTTTAGCCCGGTACTTTCCGGCAAAAGAAAGGATTTAGTTTGCACTAACCCTCAGACGAAACATGCTTTTACTAACAGATTTTATTTATTTCTAGGACCTTACTTATATAACAAACTCAATAGGCTGCTAAAAATGTATAGTGTAAGTTTAAATAAGTGTAAACTAATGCTAACAGAATATTTACAGTCCCTCAATTACTCAGATACGGAAAAATTGCTAGAAGTATTAAAATAAAGTACTTATTTTTAGTAAATTACTTACATATTAACTAGTATGATGTTATTTTTGTTTAAGAATTTAGGCCAGGTTGTCCTTGCTTAGTCTTACATTATGAAATACGATAATTATTTATTATTATATCCATTGAATTTTTTTTTTTTGCATTGATAGCCTGAAACACAGGTTTAAATAAACCTAGTTCGGGTAGTCCCTAATATTTAGACTAAGAACGTTATTTCCTCACATATGTATTGTATTAGACTAGATTAAGTTAACTATTACGATTGTTATTATTAAGACTTTTTATTACTATAAAATCTGAGCCATCTGTAATTGTAAACGTGTTCAATGTTTTTTAATAAAAATTTATTTATTTATTTATTTATCAGTGAAAGAATTTTGGCAATCCGTCGAGAGGTTCCAAAGATTACCCCCTACATACAAAATTCAAATTTTACCTCTTTATAATATTAGTATAGATAAACCTTACCGCTATACATTCTGAAGTATTTCACAGCGATATTGTCGAAATAATCCTGCTTCACTTGCGATATCTCCATAGTCTTGTGAAGCAGCGTCGCGAAACTCAGTATACCAGCGTGGCGGATGTCCAGCGGGAAGTCCAAGCCCAATTTGCTGAGCACCTCCAGCTCCTCCAAAAGCGCCTGGTTAGGTGCAGCTACATTGAATGGTAGTTTCCTGATCAGTGACAGAAGAGCTGCGTCTTCAACTTTTTCCTGTAAAAATATTGTTGTATTTTTATTTAGTAACCAGCTTTTTTACCTCTGAAGAATCGTATTCGAAACGAGGTGATCCGACAGAGAACAAAAGTTATCGACATAGCCCAAAGGATTAGCAAACTGAAGTGGCAGTGGGCAGGTCACATCTGTCGAAGAACCGGAGGCTGCTGGGGTAAACGTGTTCTAGAATGGAGACCACGTCTAGACAAACGTAGTGTAGGGCGCCCTCCAGCTAGGTGGACTGACGACATCCGCAGGGTGGCTGGCAGTGGCGTACAATTGGAGAGGCCTATGTCCAGCAGTGGTCGACAACAGCCTGATGATGTTGATGATGAACTAGCTTTTACCCGTAAATCTGTTCGCGTGGAAAAGTGACTTTCAGCAGATTTTTGGTATAAAAACTATCCCACGTCCTTTCTCGAGTTCCGAACTATGTCTGTACGAAAATTCACAGAAATCCGTTCAGTAGTTTAGCGTTAAGAAAAGACAGATAGACAGTCAGACGGAGGTACTTTGTATTTATAATATTAGTATAGATAGAGACTAGCGACCCGCCCTGCCTTTGCATGGGAGCAAAGCTGATACTGAATTTCTCTACTATTAAATAAATGTTATTATATAAACCTTTATCTTCAATAACGACATCCTTTATAAAACCGCACCAAAATCCGTCGTGTCGTTTCAAAGATTTAAGCTAAATAGAGGAATAGGACTAGAAAAAGCAACTTAGATGTATGCAATGTAGTGATAGGCAGGCGTTTGGCCGCTATCACGCCTGGTGGCAAGCGATGATGCGATCTACGATGGAGCACGACTACCCATAAGCAACCTGTTCACTCGGGCCTTGAAGACACCCAGGCTATCGCAGGCCGGCATTTAAGCATGTTGGAGAGCCAAGCTTCGGCACGAATGGGTCGGTTCAACCGAAGTGATACCACGGCCTCACAGAATACCGGCGTGAAACAATCCAGCAACAAGCAATAAAAAAAAAGCAATCAGCGCCGTCTATGGACACTCAAAACAACAGTGGAGTTACAAGTGCGTTGCCTACCTTTTGGGGATTTGGAGACTTAGGGATTGGGGGAGGAGAAGGGTTCGTGCGTGTAGGTGGGATATCCACAATGAAGCGATGACTTTTTAGCGATTGTCTGATGGTACGATGATGGAAAGGGCTACTACAAAGACCATGCTACTATTGTTAAACACCCACAAACGATATACAACCATAAAACTAAAGAAATAAGATACCTTTTCCTCCAAAACCAGGTATTTGATGAACCGCACACAAGCGTCGCTTCTAGCATGCGGTAGCACTTCCAAAAAGATGTTTCTAGCCGTCTCCAGCTCATAACTTGTTCCCAAAACTAGATCGTTGAACAGGCTGATCAAGGTCTCATACCTAAGTCTTGATATTGTGCTAAAAATCAAAAAGTTTTTATTAAATACGGGAGAGAAAAGGCTTCGACGTAAATAGGCTGGCTTAGCCGAAGTGATACCACAGCCTTTTTTTGCTCTGGGCCGACGTCGCGATGCCTCATTGCGCTTACCCCGCAATCCCGGCTGAACATCAGCCCTATAGGGCCCCGTCTGTGGTGGTCTATTGACTCTTTGAGGCGCGCGCGGAACGCTACGCGCCGTACGCTCGGGCCTGGTTCTGGTCAGGCGGCGAGCTGCCCTTGCTCGCCGACCGCAGACCCGCGCTTACGGTGACGGAGATCGTCCCTTGGATACCACAGTCTTACAGCGTGAATTAACACCATGTGAATGGCCTATCAGTAGGCTGCGCCACATCGCCGCGTCGGCGCACGCTGCTCATAAGGAAGAACTACTCTGTGGTTCGAAACTAGTAGAGCTTTTCTCAATATTATACACGTGAGTAACGAGCGATTTTTTTTAAATCATGTGAATGGAGTTACTAAAAGCTCAAAGATCCTATTTCAATCACGCTATCTATGAAAAAACTGCATCAAAATTCGTTGCGTAGTTTCAAAGATTTGAGCATAAATAGGGTCATAGGATTTTTATCCAGAATAACGTACATAAGGCTGGCAACATACTTGTAGTAACTCCTCTAGACAGTTCTAGCTTACCATCAGGTAATCCGTCTACTCATTTGCCCACCTCTTCCATAACAACGCATCTACTCCGTTGTTGTGGATGTCCATGGCCGGCGCTGATTGCTTACCATCAGGTAATCCGTCTGCTCATTTGTCCACCTTTTCCATAACAACGCAACTTCTACGTTGTTGCAGGTGTAAAAAGCGGCGCTGATTGCTTACCATCAGGTAATCCGGCTACTCGTGTGCTCACCTTTTCCATAAAAACGTAACTCGTTTGCCTATAGCTTCAAAAATTTAAATAAACTTACTTTAATAGGTCTATGAAATCCAAGCTGTGTATAAGGGAAGCGTTCCTCACAATGTTATCAGCATCGATGCCTTTCCTTGCAATTTTCAGAAGCATCTGAAACAATATGTAAAACATATTTAAAAAAAACTTGAGAGGTGTCAAGGAACACGGGTAGAGCGAAGCTGCTTACGATACTAGTAAAGAAATAGTTATCAAATTTAATTTACTTTTATTACGCTATAATTATAGTTATATATTTGATGTATATATGTATGTATGTATTTATGTGTATGTATGTATGTGTATATGTATGTATGTATGTATGTGTGTATATATTGTATATAGCTTGTAAATGTTTTTAATTCTATTGTTACACCTAGACTGCCACCCAATACTCCGTCCACCTAAAGGTTGCCTGGTAGGGATCGCTTTTAGCGATAAGGCCGCCTTTGTACCCAGTACTTTGGATTCACTAATTTTGTACTATGCATGACAACTCTTTTGGTGTACAATAAAGTTTATATATTATTTATTAATAAATAAACAAGCAAAAAGGACGCACATAAAACAAAACAAAACAAGTATAGAAACATAAAAACAAAAAAAAGCTATAAGCATTGCGAAACAAAATCAACTTGGAGTGAAAGGGAGAAAGAGAGAAAGAGAGAGAGGGTGATAAAATTGGCGATGTAAAATTCGGTAGTTTCCTAGGTAAAAAAAAAATGAATTCGACATTTCAATACAATAAAATATATAAAAATAACTATAAGTACTTTTATTCATCGATCGATCGGTCGATACACTAAGTTTTAGATATTTTTTGGCTAATTATTAAGAAATAAGTAAGCTAGTTGACGCAAAAATACTATGACGTCATACCTCAGTTTTTCATACAAATTTCATAGAAAAGTGTCGTTTTTGACATTTGGATAAAAGAAAGAAGAAAAGAAGAAAGAGTTGGAAACTACCGTATTAGCGGAATTGAAAAGCCTACACTGAAATTAGTTGCAAAAAACAATTTTGTTGCTGTAACCGATCGGCATCGGAAAAATAGGCAATTTTGAAGACCTTCATAAGAACAACTGTTTAAGAAAAGAACAAAAAAAAGAACAATACCTCATAACTACATTTTAAATCTTTTATCGTCTCGAGCATAATGCTCATATACTCTGGTCAAGCCCATCATTAGTGCCGAACCATGGATCTCCCACACTTATACTCATACATGTACCTATACTTAGGACTTAATAGAACCGACTAAATGATGTAACAAATAATTAATTGTGAAACTGGTTGAAAAAAAGTAACCATGGAGTTTCTTGCTCGTTCTTCTCCATAGGAATCTACACTTTGGAACGAGCAAATAGCTTCACTAGAGGACTGACCGACAGACTGACACACAAAGTTGAACTTTTTGATATTTTTTTATTGTTTGCCGTTCAAATGTCAAGGTCGGAGGAGTTTCGAGACGACCTTTTGGGGATTAGAGAAGTTGGAGATTTCGGAATTGGGGAAGGGGAAGAATTCGGCCTCCGGTAACCTCACTCACAAGGCGAAACAAAACGCCGTGGTTGTTCCACGCCGGTTTTCTGTGAGGCCGTGGTATCGCTCCGACCCATTCGTGCCGAAGCATGGCTCTCCCACACTTACCTCATAGGTGATGTTTTTCAGATAGGCTTGTGAAAGGTTCCTGATGCCATTGGATGGGTCTCTGAAGTCGCTTGCCGTGTATTGCACAGTTGTCTGAATAAGGTTCAATTTCTCGACACTCTTCGCTTCTTTATCATGATCGTAAGATATTGAAAGACTGTAAAAATAATAGAAGTAAGTTTTAATTGTAACGGTCTTGGTGGCCCGGAGGTTAAGGAGCCCGCTTCTCATGCATGAGGGGTTCGAAACCTGGCTATTACCAATGTGACTTTTTCCGAGTTATATGTACTTTCTATGATTATTTAGACACCACTGACAAACGGTGAAGGTAAACATCGTGAGGAAACCTGGACTTATAATTTCTAATTATAAGTTTGAAATCCCCAACCCGCATTGAGCAAGCGTAGTGGTTAATGCTCTAACTTTCTCCGTGTGAGAAGAGAACTTTGCTCAGCAGTGGGCACTTATAGGCTGATGATGATTAGAGGAATAGTGAAGATACGTCAAAATGGAGGGGAGTAACAAGTGGTGGTGGCAAATATCGAAGATCGTGCGCGTCTTATTCGGACGATCTTTGGGGAACAGTCAACTTGCCTAAGGGAAGCCTCCGCCCCTTTAGAAAGTCAACCTGCCTAATCTGTAATTTCGTAATTGTTTACTATTCTTTTAAATTAGTAAACTGTTAGAATTAGTTTTTTTATGATAAGTTTATTTGATTTTGTTTGGTTAATTAAAATGAAAACCTGTTGTAGTTTGAGTTATTTTTTTTTTAATATACTATTAGCTACTCTCGCGCTTTCACACGCTGCTCGGCTCCATATAATCGTAGCGTGATGTTTTATAGCCCTCCTTCCCGACCCTGGGCGGGAGAAGTCATTTGACGATTTTCTCCTCACAAAAAAACTTAAGGCACAAGAGAAAGTACTTGTGCATAGGCTAAGATTTATATGCAAAAAAAAATACAACTTAGTTCAAACGCTTACTCAGTGTTCACTGCTAAAATGTGGTCGTGTGTTTTATACTGGTAGCTGCCTCTCAACTCCATTGAGCTTAGTCCCTTGTAGTCATCCAGTTCGTAAGTCCTCTCTGCTGAAGACACCGAGTCTATCTGAAATGATTAAAAAGAAAATCGGGAAATATTTCTTGAAAACGCTTTGCTATGAAGAATCGATAAGTCCCGGGGTGAACAAATTTAATAGACATTTTAATCGATTTAGAGTCATGTATATTAAGCAAATTATCATTACGTTAACGATTGTCTATTATACATCTTAACCCCCTTATCCCCAATCCTCTTATCACCAGTCCCCTTCTCCCAATCATCTTAGCCCAATACCCTTATCCCCAACCCCCTTATCTACAATACCCTTATTCCCAATTCCCTTACCCCCAAACCCCTTAAACCCATTCCGCGCAGCCCACATCTCCTTATACCCAATCCCTTTGACACCAATGCCCTTATCACCAATCCCCTTATTTCAAACGGCCTTACCCCCGTTCTCTTATCCCCAATCACCTTATCCCAATCCTCTCATCCTCAACCCATTGTACCTTATCCCCTTATCCCCAATCCCCTTATCACCAGTCCCCTTATTTCCATTGCCCGAATCCGAATCCTTAAAATCCCTTAAGTATTTAGTGTTGCGATTGTACATGTGCGACGACGATTGCTTACCATCAGGTTATAAAGCAACTCATTTGTCGTCATATCTCTTAAAAAGAAACTCGCAAGCAGAAATACCACTCCTTGAGAGAAGGGATGTGTACCCCTCCCTTATAATTAAGTTTGTTATTTTAGAACTCTATTTGAACTTATCAGCTCCCGTCCAACTCACCACACTTCTCCCAGTATACACAGAAGACCAGGGTACGGAAGCCCAGCTGTTCCTACTCCCGGCTGTGGGCACCTTCAAGCTGGTGAACTTCTTGATCAGGTTACCCCTCGACAGGTACATCATCACGCAAATATCGTCCAGACAGGGCTGTGAAAGAAAGTAATATAGGGAAATTGAAATTATGGAGAAAGATCACTTGCATTCCTGACCAACTAAGTAAGTGTGGGAGAGCCAAGCTTCGGCACGAATGGGTCGGCTCGACCGGAGTGATACCAAGGCTTCACAGAATACCGGCGTGAAACAATCACAGCGTTGTGTTTCGCCGTGTGAATGAGGTTACCGGAGGCCCAATCCCGTCCCTTCCTAGGGGAGGGGCGGGATTGGGAAGGCCCTTCCCGATCCTTACATCCGCAACCCCTATCCCCAAAAAGCGGGCAACGCACTCGGAACTCCTTTGGTGTTGTAGGTGTCCGATTGCTTACCATCAGGCAATCCGTCTGCTCGTTTGCCGACTTATACCATAAAAAAAACTTCCCCAACAGTCCACACCCACCACTCACCAATCCCTAAGTTTTCGAAACCAGAATCCCCTAAAGGTCCTTGATTCTTCTGTGGCTGCCCATGAGCGGCGCCTATTACTTACCATCAGGTAATTCGTTTGCCCGTTTGCTACCCTATCATATAAAAAGTCCTATGATAGCCTACTAGGTTAAATCAGTCTCTTTTTTATAAGATCTATCATAACTTCCAAGGTTACTTGGTTGGAGATCATACTTTAAAAGTAGCGCTTCTTTTTGAGAAGAGATAGGCATATCTGGCAGTCTCCGCCCTCCGTAGGTGGTGTGACGTGTGAGAGAGAGATTGTCTAAGGAAGGATGATGGGCTTCTGGTAACCTCATTTACATGACAAAACACAACTGGTTGTTTTATGCCGGAAGCCCAATATTTCCCCGATCCCTCCCCAATCAAATCTCCAAAACCCTTATCCATAAAAGCTTCGGCAACGCACGTAACTCCTTCGTTACGGGTGTCCATGGGCAGATTGCTTACCATCAGGTAATCCGCCTGCTCGTTTGCCGACCTATTTTACTTAAAAAAATCACCCCGGTCGAGCTGACTCATTCGTACTTGAATGAATTTGAATTTTTCAAGAAAACTTACCTCATTAACAGAATACGTTCCGCTGTCCTTAGTGACTTGGAAGTTGATCGATATGGCCCTCTTCAGGTTCACCGACCAAGCCGGCTCCTGGCCAACGTATATAGACTTTATATAGCCATTGTCCTAGAAGAAAAAAAACATATTAATAAGTACGAAGAAAATTATTTATGGACTTTTCATTTATTAATGAAAATGATGACTTATAACACATTCAGTGCCACCGACTCGCCGGAGGCCAGAGTCCAAGTAAATTTTATTCCAGCGCCGTGGACTCGCCCGGCGAGTTCAACGTAAGGCCGCAATCCCGCTAGGCGTTTTACTAGCGTTGACGTCAACGTTGTGTTTGCGCAGCGTCAACGCCGCTTCGTCGCGTGGCAAGCATTAACGTCCGTGGGATAGCGGCCTAAAATATACGAGAAATGTAGGCGGCATCCGAGATATGGTTGTGAAAAAAGTAGTGGTAATTAAAGTATATAAAGTCAATTAACTGAGAAAGCTTGCTGCGTCGCATATAGATTCAGAAGAATGCTCAAAAGATTCACGAAAATGCTCAATAGATGGCGTTGCAAGTCCTACATCACGCAAGAGAAGTTTGCGCGTGCATAGACACGGATAGAAAATCCCAACGTGCTACTTTTTGTGCTGAAACTTCGCCCTGTCGAAGGATCCCCCCCATTTCCGATCTTAGTAAACTTTACTCTCTGTTTTGTAAAAACTCTTTTATTCTGAAATCACAATGGGTCTCTTACTCTTATTCTAGAAGCGTACGCGTCGCGACAACTCATCTGACTCGGTTAATTCAACTCGTTATTTTCAAATTAGGGCTGATTTTTCAATGGTTAGATAAAATGTCATCTGAGGAATAAAATTGTTGCTGTCATTGTCTTATACAAACATTCTGACGCGATAGCATCATAATTATTCCCCAGGTAACTTTTATCTAACAATTATAAAATGAGCCCTAAATAAAATATGTCTTAAAATGAAATAAAAATACTATTAAGAAATAACTACTCCGTACTAATTCCAGCTTCGGGTTGCGGTATGTTATTACAGAGAGAACCAATTATACAAATAAAACAGCTTGTAGTCAGAGCTACAGAGAAAGAAATATCCAGAACATTTGCGCCGTGTTTCGAAATATCGTCTCTTGCACCTGGTCCTTGGCCCAACTCTCTAACGTAAGCCCACCCTGGTGTTGGTCGAGGCTTTTAGCCATAAGGCAGTCGCTTAAGAAGAATAATTACCTGATACTCCAATTCCCATGGCTCTTTAAGGATCTGATCATCATCGGTCTCCAATTCCTTAACCAGCCCATGATCCGTACAACATACGATTTTCTGTATGAAACAATAAGAAAACAAAATTAAAACCTTTCATCATCATCACCATAATAACAGTTCTTGACAGAACATTAATCATGATACTTTCTCAAAGCGATATCTAATTTATAATTATAATTTTTTTTTTTAAATTTTACTGCACGACAGCATTTTTTGGGGTTTCAGGTCTGGGTGTGATGTGTATGTGAAATTGTATGTTTGTAAACGTACCCACGACACACGTGAAAATCCTAGACTGGGACAACGATTTTTGTAAAAAAGAAAAAAAAATAGAAATTATAGGTCCAGGCTTTCTCACGATGTTTTCCTTTACCTGGTTTGCCAGTGATGTCTAAATGAACTTAGCAAGTTCATATAACATGGAAAAAGTCACATTTGTATGAAAAAAAAATTTACCTGCAATTCGTCCAGAAACAGCCGTGCTTTCGTAAAATTGTCGTAAACCTGTATATGCAAATTGCCTTGCAACTGCCAATAGGTGGCGCTCTTTCGAGGATTCCATGTTCCAGTTGATACATTACTTTTTAACGAATACACGTATTCTCTATGCTCATGTGGAAACATCAGCTGTAGACCTGACCGTAGAGAGTTTGTGGTTGTAATTGTTACTGAAAAAAAAAACGCAAAAAAAAACAATTTTATAGAATCAGGCGTTACTATGCGGAAATCTATGACATTAAATGTTAGGAAAAATATTTAGTTTTAATTCCGCGACAAAAATCCATCCAAGCTTGTTGCGTAATTCGCAGACGAGCGCTCGTCGTGTCAACATCTCCTGAGGATGCCCTATGGAGGGGCGAAACACGTGTCGAGTATAGGTTTGATTGCGTGCATGTTTTTCCGTTTTTTGCATGTTCAAATGCATGATTGCATAAGAGTGGGATTGCATCCTGCAACAAGCCTGGATTTTTGTCGCGGAATTAAAACTAAATATTTAAAACATTTGTAGCTTAATTTGTACCACTAAGGAGAGGAATTCTTTGCCGGAGACTTTGTTCCCCCAAGGAGAACCTGAATGTCTTCAAAGTTCGAGTAAATTGGTTGCTTATGGGTAGGCATGGTCTATCGTAGGTCGCATTATCGTTTACCACCAGGGGTGATAGCAGCAAAATGTCTGCCAATTCCGTAATAAAAGGTTTCATAACAACTTAATCCAAGAACTAATGCTTTGATCTTTTATGATGGTGGATAACGAAATGGTAAGGAATTAGCGCCGCCCATTAATATCCTCAACGTCGAGGAGTTCAAGGCAATTGATAACATTTTTGAAGTTAGGGACTTGAAGGTCAAGAGATTTGAGGGTTGGACATAGGAAGGCATGTTTTTGAAAGGTAAAAATCATCAAATGAGTTCTCCTGCCCTAAGACACTTACAACCGGTTTCCGAAAGGCCGATTAATGTTAAAATCAATTTAATCTCTTGTCAAGTCATCTGATTGGTTGACTGAATTATCAACAACCAATCAGATGACTTGACATTTGATTTAACAGGAGATTAGTTAATTTTTGCGTTAAAAAGCCTTTCAGAAACCGGGTGTTAATGACTAAAAATTAGCCAGTTCCTTCCCTTGCTTTAGATGAGTGAAGAAGGATTGGACCTCCGGTAACCTCATGCTATTAAACTGAATAAGAATTTAACAGGTCTAAATCCGGCGAGGTTATGGTATCACTACGGTCGAGCCAACCTATTAAAGCCAAAGTATTCCCCTCCACTTTTTTATTACAAATACAAATTTGAATACATACCAACAAATATAAAGAATATTCTTAAATTCATATCCATTTCAGTATCTGAAAAAAGAAACAAAGTATGTATTCCTCCAGCAATCTGCTCGCTACCATAAGTTGACTGGACAATCTCTACACTACATGAGTCACTATTTACATGTGAACATTAGCTCATGGCGATACCAGCGTCCGTGTCACTGGACAGTGAACCTCGCTACCATCAGTTGACTGGACATCTACACTACACGAGTCACTGTTTACATGTGAACATTAGCTCATGGCGATACCAGCGTCCGTGTCACTGGACATTGAACCTCGCTACCATCAGTTGGCTGGACAATCTCTACAATACACGAGTCACTGTTTACATGTGAACATTAGCTCATGGCGATACCAGCGTCCGTGTCACTGGACAGTGAACCTCGCTACCATCAGTTGACTGGACATCTACACTACACGAGTCACTGTTTACATGTGAACATTAGCTCATGACGATACCAGCGTCCGTGTCACTGGACAGTGAACCTCGCTACCATCAGTTGACTGGACATCTACACTACACGAGTCACTGTTTACATGTGAACATTAGCTCATGGCGATACCAGCGTCCGTGTCACTGGACAGTGAACCTCGCTACCATCAGTTGACTGGACATCTACACTACACGAGTCACTGTTTACATGTGAACATTAGCTCATGGCTATACAGCGTCCGTGTCACTGGACAGTGAACCTCGCTACCATCAGTTGACTGGACATCTACACTACACGAGTCACTGTTTACATGTGAACATTAGCTCATGGCGATACCAGCGTCCGTGTCACTGGACAGTGAACCTCGCTACCATCAGTTGACTGGACATCTACACTACACGAGTCACTGTTTACATGTGAACATTAGCTCATGGCGATACCAGCGTCCGTGTCACTGGACAGTGAACCTCGCTACCATCAGTTGACTGGACATCTACACTACACGAGTCACTGTTTACATGTGAACATTAGCTCATGACGATACCAGAGTCCGTGTCACTGGACAGAGAACCTCGCTACCATCAGTTGACTGGACATCTACACTACACGAGTCACTGTTTACATGTGAATTCTAGCTCTAAACGATACCAGAGTCCGTGTCACTGGACAGAAAACCTCGCTACCATCAGTTGACTGGACAAACACTGGAACACAATTTCTTACAACTCAATGTATTAAAAATCGTTAAGCTAATTCGTTCTGTCTTCATAATTCTTGAATAACAAGCAACAGTGAGTTCATTGACCCTTACAACCAGCGCCAGAAGTATAGGTAAGGTCTAAATCTAAAATTTGACGTAATAAGTAGTTACTTAACTCTGAATTTACAAAAAAAGAGTTTGAACTTACATTTATAACACTTTACACTAGCACAAACCTAACTCTCACTGTAAACTTATGATTATTTAATAATTAATAATATAATAGTCGATGTTATTATTATATTATTATTGAGTTATTATATCACAGACAACTGCTATATGGTTGGACATCGCCGCTTGAATGACTCTTGTGGCAGTCGATTGATAAAGTGATGTATGTAGAAAAAAATCATTTTTGATATGACAAAATAAATATTTTTTTTATTTAAGATAATTTATTTATGTCTTAGTGCGTAGTATATTAGCATTAGTAGCCAAAAGTATTGAAAATAATATAATATTTCTCTTAATATCGGCCGGCCTAAAACAGGAGAAACATGGGTGTGGTTTTAGACTGTAACAGTCTAACAATCCGTCTCCATCTTTTCGTCGCCATCTTTTCGCCATCGTTCCACGCGAAAACATGTTCATCCCCATCACATAGATAGTTGGCAGTCAACAACTGTACGATTCTCGCGTAACTTTCTGCCCCGCACAGCAAAGCTTTGGAATGATCTTCCGGCGGCGGTATTCCCGAACCGATACGACCTTCAAACCTTAAAGCGCCGAGCTCGAGCCTTCTCAAAAAGCCGGCAACGCACCTGTGACTACTCTGGTGTTGCAGGTGTCCATGGGCGACACCGATCGCTTACCATCAGGTGATCCGTCTGCTCTTTTGCCTCCTATTCCATAAAAAAAATATCTAATCATCACGCTTACTCAGCGATTTCATGATAAGTGATTTCAAACTGATAATTATTAAGTCCATACATAAGTGTGGGAGAGCCATGCTTCGGCACGAATGGGTCGGCTCGACCGGAGTGATACCACGGCCTCACAGAATAACGGCGTGAAACAAAAACAGCGTTGTGTTTCACCGTGTGAGTGAGGTTACCGGAGGCCCAATCCCAGCCCTTCCCCTATCCCTTCCCGTTCCTTATATCCGCAATCCCTGTCCCCAAAAGGCCGGCGACGCACTCGTAACTCCTTTTGTGTTGCGGGTGTCCATAGGCGGCACCGATTGCTTACCATCAGGTAATCCGTCTGCTCGTTTGCCGGCTTATACCATAAAAAAAGGAACATTGTGGCTATATTGAAAAAAGAATTTTGGAAATCCAACCATCAGCGGTTCCAAAGGTCACCCCTACATACAAATTTAGTAACTTTACTTCTTTACAGACAAATGCTCAGAATACAGAACAAACCAGAATCCGCGTTCACTCATAATTACATGTCGTCAAATGTGTCCAAAAACAATACGTCAATCCCCCCGCCAGCCGCACTTCCCACCCGCGTAGTGTTGCCGACAGTGGAACAATTCCCTTGGTTTTGGGTAATTTTACAACAGGAGGGTAAGATACGAGTAAACCCAACAAAATAGGTAAACTTACGATAAATGCAACAGACTAGTTGTTCACACATTTCATAGAGGTATCATATAAGTTGACGATTTCTGGATTTGTTAATTTTAGTACAAAGGTTTTATTGCGTTCTATTTTGCTGGTTTAGTTTTTTATATGTATTGTCTTTAGACTCCGAACTAAAGATTAGAAGTCTACTTACTTTACTTAGTTCCTGAGATGAGCGCATTCTAGCAAGCAAACAAACAAACTCTTCAGCATAAATGCAGCAGCAGCAGGATATGCTGTTTTCAAACCACCTTTGTCATAAATATATCTCTTCAAAGTGAATTGAGCAAACTATGCTCTGGCTAGATGTTTTCCAAAATTAATTTAACCGTGCCCTTTGTATGATTTGTATTTATTTTTTTGTCAGGGAAACTAATATAACATAGGCTTCATAATGGACAAAAATATAACCCACAACAAATAAATAAGTGGGTAAAATTTTCACCAAAAATGACAACACTCACAAAATAATAATAATAATAATAATGTCGATTGAACAATTATTAATTAATGATAGATTGAACAAGAGCTAGATATACCATTTTAAGTGTTTTACCATTTGCTACCTGTTTAAGCCGTTTGAAAATATAAGTAAGTTTCCGTACTCTTTTAGATAAAGTGTGTATGTGATCATTGAAAGATAATCTTTTATCAAAGGTGACACCCAAATACCGAATACTCTGCGTTTGCTGTATTGTTGAGCAACTACATTGATGTAGTGGGGGAAATGAACACTGGTGCACATATAGGGAAGGTATATCTTGTAAGATTTCTGCGTTCCTGATTACAAAAAAAATGTATTTGGTTTTATCTGCATTAAGTGTGAGCGAGTTAACAGCAAGCCAGTGACAGACCTTGTTAAGACCTGATTGAGCTAAGGAATATACTTCTTCCAAAGAATTTCCCGTGAAAGTAAGTGTCGTGTCATCAGCATAAGATATTATATTACAGTTTTGTAGGTTAAGTTGACATAGTTCATTAATGTAACATAGGAACAGAGTAGGGCCAAGAATACTTCCTTGAGGAACTCCGTGCGAGATAGGTAATTCATCACTCAGGTGATCACCGATCTTTACTCGCTGCATACGATTCGACAAGTAGTCAGTAAATAAGTTTAACTCATTTCCCCGAATTCCCATACTATTCAATTTACGAATTAGGGTGGGGATAGAGACTGTATCAAAAGCCTTGGCAAGGTCGAGAAAAACGGTCAGGCATTTTTTGTTATTGTCTAAGTTTCTTACCAGGAAATCAGAAAATGTGTGAACAGCTTCATCGGTGGATTTACGTGCTCGAAATCCGAATTGTGTAGCAGCAAGCAATTTCTCTGACTCCAAGAATTTTATGAGTCTGCTGTTTATAGTACGCTCAAACACTTTTGATAATGAAGAAAGTATAGAGATGGGCCTATAGTTGTTGACACAGCCTCTATCCCCTGCCTTATGTATTGGGATCACAATTGATTTTTTTAGGGCCTCAGGAAAGACACCTGTATCAAAACAACGATTTATGAGATCAGTGATAATAGGAGCCACCAAGTCTACAACAGTTTGCAATAATTTAGCTGAGATGGTGTCCCATCCAGGTGAGCATTTAGTCTTTAAGTTTAGGATAGCAGTTTTAACTTCCATAATGTCAACTTTGAGTAGTACGAATGAGTTGCTGGGGGAGGTGTCTTTACTAATAGCAGTATCGTTGAAAGGTGGAACATGAGAGGGTATGTGTTGAGCAAGTGCTTTTCCAATAGTAGAAAAAAAGGTATTGACAGTATTAATAGAAGATTGCGAGGTTTGATTTGTAAATAGTAGTTCTTCAGATGATTCATGATTTTTGTGAGAATTTGTTATAGTTTTAATAGAATCCCATAATAATTTAGAATTTCCTTTAGCCATGTTTAATTGATCTTGTTCATATTGTCGTTTTAGTTTTTTTAGAAGATTATTGCAATGGTTTCTATATCGTTTATATGTTATAATTATGATTTCATTATGCGGTTCTTTTCTAGTTTTAATATGCATCATGTCTCTGTTTTTAATGCATCTTAGAAGTCCTGGTGTTATCCAGGGCTTTAAGGTAATCTTATTTCGTGGCATCCTAATGATGGACACATGTTTTGTTGTTAGGTTAGACAGTAATTCGATAAAAGTATTAGTCGCCAAATTTACATCATTTTCAGCATAGACTTGGCCGAAATCCAACTTGGAACAGTCCGATATGACTTCGGCCCAGTTTAACTTTCTGACTATTTTACTATTCATGGGTTTTTTTGATCCCTCGTACTTGAGACAAAACAAAATGGCGTCATGATCGGTTATTGAGGTTTGAAGGTTAAATGTGTAAGCCTGTAACTTGCTCTTTACTAAAACGTGATCCAAGCAATTATTTCCTCTAGTAGGAAGGTTATGTGCCGGAAGAAGACCATGAAATGAAGTAACATCTAGGTATGACGAAACATTTGAATCAGTACTCAGTATATTCACATTAATGTCACCTACTATAATTATATTTTGAAATGATTGTAGCTGTTCCAGAATGTTGTGAAGCGATTGTAAAAATATATCTAAATTTTTGAATGATGGTGACCTATAGATAGCCACGATAACTGTTTTATTCCCAAATTTAATTAACAGGCAATTGCATTCATTAAGAAGTGGTTCTTCTATTGTGTAAGTGTGTTCGTTACTGACCATGACTACTACTCCATCATTTTGATTAAGAGTTCGATTAGTTTTATAGGAGTTATATCCATTTAAAATAGGAAGATCTGGTACCTGACGGAGCCAGCACTCGGACAACACTATCACGTCACATGTGAAGCTTAATCTCGTCAGAAGCACTAGAAGTTCGTTATAGTTGCAGTTGATGCTACGTATATTTTGTTGTAAAATTTTTAGGTAGTTGGTAGCATTTTGTATGTATTTGGAGCAATTTTCAGGGTTGCAACGTAATGAGACAGATACATTAAACTGATCTATATTATTTAATAAGTCATTAACCATTGCGAATGTTTAACTGTAAAGCTTTCGCAGGACAATTTGAGTAGCGTACAGATTTGAAAATTAGTTTTGTTTGGTATATTATTAAGAGCACGTTATCAATTGCATATAAATCCGAGCCTATGCATCCAATTGGTAAAAATGAACATGAATTTAACCACAATAATGAACACTGATCACAGCGGATAATCTTTTGTATTTTTTGTTTATTTTCTAAAGACCAGACTATGATTTTTTGTATGTATGGGTGTGTGTGTATGTGTTGTTTGTGTACATATGTGTATTTAATTGTAAATGGTAAACATGTGAGTATAGTGATGGTAAGTATTATGTGTAGAGTATTACTATAAATTGTTAGACCTATTTTAAAAATCTTAACAAATGGCTTAATATAAAACAAAATTAGTCATATAATATTGTTAAAATCTTCAATATTTTTAATGTGAATAGGTGAGTCACCCTCTTTTTTACGAATATAAACTTTTCCAAATGAGGTCCAGCATCCATGAAAACCTTGTCTTTTGGTAAGTTGCCTGGACAAATAAAATAGTTGTTGTGTCTTTACTGTTAGACAATCAGACACATAAATATTTCTAGGCGCGCCTTTCATCTTAATATTATTGGTGTTTAATGGAAGTGCTTTTTTAACTTTTTGTGACTTATTGTATTTTATCACCGAACCAATAACTTCCGATTTTCTTGTGACAGTTGTAAAGTCAACTACAATGGTCT